AATAGGTATATATATATATATATATATATATATATATATATATATATATATATATATATATTTTATCAAAGAAAAATACAAAACGTTCCAAAATTGTAACAAAACGACATTTCAAATGACTTTTCACGCTTGCAAGCTATAAATATATACTTTCTGTTTGATTTGACTGATCTTATATTATTAACATTCCAACAGCAAAACATATGATTATTCTGAGAAATAAAAATATGATGCAAGGTGTTTAGTTTTGTAAAGAAGAGCATTTTATTCTGTAAAGTAAGATTAAGTGTTAGTCATGATTTCTAGAAAGTGATAAATTGTTAATACTTTCATATAATAACTCTATTTATAGACTAAAATCAATATGCAGAAAAGTCCGTGTGTTTTATAAAGGATCATAACACATCCGAGTTAGAAAATTTCCAGCTGATAGTTAAACCATATTATATCGATATTGTGTTCCTTTATCCATGCATGGATATAAAACCAACACTCTACTGTGAAACACGTAATTATGTGTAAAATTAAGTAGCCATTTCATACAATCCAACTTTAGATAGCCAATATTAGAACATGTCGGTGAATTATAATACATCGTATTTTTAAAAAATAGTTATAGAAAATACAGTATATTACTATATTTTAAGTTCGAAGAGTTCACATATTTATCGTATATCATGTATGAACAAACATGATTACATGACAAAATCACAAAACTAAGAATTTGACTAGTAATAACATTCTGGAAGACTGGAACGATGGACAAGTAGAAAATAACCATATATAACATGCTAAACAGTAAAATGACTTTGAAAAAAAAAAAAAGAAGCAGTAAAATGACATTTCTCTTTATTGTTATATCACTACTAATGATGAATTGACAAAACAGTTGAATACTATTAACATAGACAGTAGGAAAAAAAAAAAAACATAAGATTCATTTTTTGTTTAGCAATGAAAAAATAGTTGAATATTAGGATTCGTAAAAATACTTTTGACAAAATTACGGAACAGTGAAATAAAATAAAAATGTGTTGTGTTGTGACTTGTGAGAAAGAAGGGAAAAGGCTGTCGTTTTAGGGGGACAAAACGACAAGGGCGCCTGGATCAAAACAAAAGGTTTTTTGATTAATAATAAAAGGGAACGACACGTTGTTCAATGGTTTTATTGCGGACCACCCGGATGTTATACCGGTTTAATGCAAGACACAAATTCCCTTTTTCGCGCCTCTCTCTTACTTCCGTCTCTCACGCGCCCTTTCCCCATGTTTTTATTTCACACGCCCTGTTTTTAATATCCACAAATCTAACTTATTTTGTCAAAAGGACTATAGTTTTAAGTGACAATTAACTATTCTAAAATTCTGAACGAATCCACCAAAAAGTGATCATGTTTGCCCTTTCATCATCGTTTTCACATTTTCGCCAACCTTTTATTCATTAATTTTTTTGTTGATCGGATGCTATTACACTTCTCAAATCAATATATATGTACCTTGTTTCATCGAAAATATATAAAAACGAAACAAAAAGTTTTAAAATAGTGATAGGAGATAATTAAAAAAAGAAAAAGAGATGATTTTCTTTTTTTTACAGCAAAAGTGATAGGAGAAAACTATACCAAAAACATAAAAAAATATTGATTAAATATGATTTTATATATGTAAATAAAGTGTTAAATCATATGATACAAAAATATAAAATTACCAATCAAAATTGTTCTATAATTTGATGGAAATTTAATCCAATGGTTGCATAGCCAAAATATAAAAACAGAAAATATTAAATTATAGCGGAATCAGATAACAAACATTACCATCCGTTGTTATCTCATAATCTTTCTTTTTTTTAATATTTGACATTTGATATTATAGTGGTGTTTTTGATATTATAATCTAAATCAAAGGAAGAAAAATCATGACATATTTTTTTCAATAACATTTGAAAGAGGTATATACAAATTCTTGACAAATATTTTCATTCACAAAGAAAATAATTCTTTTTTCTTTAAAAGAATATTGGTTGGTCTAAAATTTTAATATAATCACAAATAACTTAAATCACCAGCAGAGCCGAGGCGGGTTAAACGCCCAGACCCACCTTTCTTCTTCGACCCGTCAGGATCAGACCCGCCTCCACACACGAATGTGCATTCCACGCCGCACAAGTTACTGAAACACGAGAAAAGTCCGTTTCCTCCTTCTGTGTGACGACGGTTATGCTTCTTCTTCACCGCCGGAGTTTTCTTCCTCGAGCTTTTCCCTCCACCTGCGTTTGCGACTACAATCGCACCGCTTCCTACATCGCTGCTTTGATGACTCGATCCTAGATCGTACAGCGGCGGAAGCTCCGTTCGCCACCGTTCAAGTTTCGATCGGAGGCCTTCCATGTTACTATCGTCGTCTAAACTCCATTCACTGAGAATCGAGCTCTCTGTTTCGTTAGCTAGCGATCTCTCTTTCGCCATCTTTTGCGCTACTTCTGATGGCGACGGACCTAATTCGGATTCGGTTAAAATCGGTCGTCCTGCTAAATTTGATCTCATCGGAGTACCAAATTGCAGAGGCGATTTCATCGGTGTAGCCATGTAGTTAGATCGAATCGGAGTTGATCCGACGATGTTGGATCGTAAAGGAGTTGAACCGAGGATGTTAGATCTCCTTGGAGTAGATTCGACGCCGGTGGATCTCATCGGACTAGATGCAACCATGTTAGATCTGATCGGAGTAGATGCGACAATGTTTGATCTCAAAGGTGTCCCGTGCCTTGACAAATAGGGTGAAGCGCGGCTGCTGGTGTGGTCATAGTCTTTCGGGGGTCTTGGTTTCTCGATCATCGGAGTTGATCTTCTCGGAGTTTTGCGTGAACGGTCGTGCGAACGATAAGGTGACTCTTCGTATCTCTCGTGTCTTTCACTTCTCGGTCGCATCACATTGTGGCTCTCTCTTGGTGATTGATCTATGTAGTCAGGCTCGTATGAATCGTATCTCTGACTTGGGATCTTTGGGGATTGATAAGGAGGCACATAATCGGTAGCATCGGAATCTGACGTCGTCGAATCATGTCCCGACGTGGTTGGTACAGTCCCTGATTCGCTGCTCATTAACGCGCTGGCTGGCTTTCTGCTCGCCACACGGCTCCGCTCTGCTCTGCTTAGAAGATCAGAAACAACCATTGAGCTAGTATCGCTCTTTGTACGGCGGAGCATCGGTGGCCTCGAGACTACGGATTGGTACTGTTTTGAAGATGGAGATTGTAGATTCTTTGAGCTTCCTTTGAAGCTATTAAGATGCAAATTCTGCAAATGTGGATCATCTTCTCCTAGCAAATCTCTGTAACCAACTGCAGATGAATCCATATTCGTGTAAAGCGGCATACTACGCATTGACCCGTCAAGTATTCCAACACCGATGTTTAATATTCCCTGAGGACGACCTGATGGTCGGCGAACTTGAAGCGCGACGAATCTCATTCCGGGAGGCGGTGTACGGCGATACTCATCATTGCTTCGGTATCCAGGTCGGCGATTTGGAGGGATTAGGTTGCTGATGAGGACACGGACTGTGCCAACGTGAACATCACGGAACCAGTGTAAGGCGTAGATTTCAACGACGACAGCTGAAGTATCGGCATAAAGGAAATCCTCGCTAACTCGAAAGACGAACTTGTCGTTCCAAGTTGGGTTTGCTCCACCAGTGTAATCTACGCGGGTGGTGAGTTTGCGCTCGGAGTGAACCCAAGCCACCGCGTAGGTCTTCATTTTACGTGAGACAGGAGCTAGATCCTGGGCAGAGATTATGTTGAGCTCTAGTAATTGGAAAGAAGGAAACATCGACATTGTTTGTTTGTTTGTGGACACAATCAATGTGTGTAATATTCTTCTTCTGTTTTGGTAAAAGAAAAAAAAAAATGTGTAATTCAAATCAGTCACATTTGATGGAATCAGGAGAATTGAAAGAGCTGTGGAATTGAAATGACGAATTCTTGATTAGCCCCCTAAGGAGTGAACGATTCTCCATTGGATAGATCATTAAGATTATTATTCGTTTGGTGGTAAATCTCCTAATGGTGAGGATTATGAATTGGCCATTGCTTCCTGTTTCTTATTTTGTTCCATGTTTTTTATGAACCTTAGAAGCAGAGAGAGGAGAGAGAGAAAGGGTTAATTTTAGGGGTAATGTGATATTTATTCTTTAGTAAATTGTGTAGAAGATTGCTAAATTAGGAGTTAATAGGATCAAAATTGTCAATTATCTCATATTCTCTCATATTGTTTTGTGACGGACCATAGGCTAAAATTGTTTTGTGGCAAAGCGATTTCCCACAGATAATATCTGAAGTTTTTTGTCGGCTATAATTAGGTACCAGAGGTTTCAACAAATTCGAGAAGCTGTGTTTATTCCTGCGTTATTTACTTATTGGGCCTTCTGAATAGGAGCCCAAATCGAGGCAGTCAAGGCTCAAATCCAATGTCTATCATTAAGAACGTGGTACGTCGGTCTGGCTAATGTCTCTCTCTCTCTGAGCGTTGTTCTCTCTCTCTCTCTCTCTCTCTTTATGGCTGTATACTAAATTCGTATTATGCTTTGTATATTACTATTATTATAATTCTTCATTGAAAACTAAAGTATCAAAATGGACCACCACTATGTCCCATTTCATTAGGATGCAATTAAATGCCACAACAATTACTACTCCAAAGATTCACCAAAACTTGTGCAGAGAGTATTGATGTTTGATCCCAAAAGGTATCAATTTGTTTCTCTGTTCCCAAAATCATAAAAAGCCCTCACACACTTCACATTTCACACTTCTCCATAAGATTTCATGAACAATGTAATAATATACAAAAAAATACACTAAAGTGTTTCACTCGAGACCACATGATATTACGATCATAAAACAACACACACATACAGAACAACTACATACGTAAACCCGTGAAGGCAAACTGTGGTATTCGTATTTCAAGTATTTAAAAAGCACACGATTATTTGTCTGAACAATAAAGAAACCAAAAATAATGCAAATTGCCACAATAATACAAAAACACCGGTGGAATCCTACTCATTTAACAAGAAACATAACAAAGTAAAATCTATACTATATACACAAAATTGCCACGTTATATCAAACAGTATTAAAGTAGTACTCTTCTCAAACGAGATTTCGGTAAAATGAAATAAAAAAAGTACTGAAAAAAACAAGTTGGCAGAAAAAAACAAGTTGACAGAAACACAAAAAGCAACTTAACAGTCTATAGAAAAAACAAAATATCATTAAAACACACGAAAAAGCAAAACTGTATATAACGTAATTTAAACAGGAAAGTGTAATTCGCAATGGTAAAATAAATAAAAATTCAACCTACTACATTTTTCACATCCATAAATAAGTTAATTTATTTATCAATTTATAGTGGCATTCCAATAGATATGCTTTTTTTAAGGAACTTAAATTCAGATAATAGAAAGTAGGAATCATTTACATTTTTTAATATTAAAAAAAAATTAAGACAAATCGAAGTACTTGTTTGTTACTCTTTTAACAAATTTTCTAATCCAACAACCACAATTTCCTTCCATCTACCAAAAATATCAAAAATAGAGAGTATCAATTTCAAGAAGAAAAAAAAATAAAGATCGTCAAATTTAATAATAATTGCCATGCACCTCGGAGTTCACATTAGCTTTTTTTTGCCTCTATTTCGGGGTTTTGGATTCGTTTTGCTGTCGTCTTCATACTATTTATTTTCAATAATCTGCCAAAAAACACACAAACAAAAACATTAAAATAATTTAAGACTCAAAAATCAACTTTGCCTTTATTCATTTATCTTCCTCAACATGTGCATCTGTATATGCCTATTTTTATATATATGCATGCACTTACACGCTAAAATATTTCGATATATTTTTAAAAAGTGTGCAGATTTGGAACCTCGAAATAGAAGAATCTTACAGCCAAATCTTCGGATATCAATTTTGCTCAATTTAGAAAGATAGTATATCTATATTTTCTTAACAAAAATAAATACTGACTAATCATTATGTTTAGCAGTAACATAACACAAATTACGTATGGCATGAGAGGAGATTATATAAATAAAAACTGTAAAATAAGAGAGTTTAAAAATTGAAGTACCGTCATATTTCTTCTTCATCAAGTTTTTGACGAAAAGCAAACAAATAACAAGAAAGCCAACTCCAGCTGTTCCTCCTACTATTATTGCCACCGTTTTCCCTGTTGTTCCTGTTTTTTTTTTCCCATCAGAACCCAATTTTTTCTTTATCATCTCTCATTTAGTTATCTCTTATAACAATTTCTCTTAAAGATTACACTAATTTTTTTTCTGCTAATTGCTATTGGTAAGTGAAAACTCGGAAGAGTAGGTAACTCTTACCAAAATAATAAAAGTAGAATGTTGAAAACTCAATTGGAGCCTCAAAACCAAAGAACAAATCCTTTTGAATTAAAGTGAATAAGATAGTCAAATAATTCATTTATATATATATATATATAATTAAAAATTCAACATCGAATCATTTTTATTTATAAAAAGTAAAACCTTTTCGAGATTTTCCAACAAATTTAAAACTTTGATTTTGAAAATTCGCCGACCCAAAAAACAAAAACCTCAAATTTCCAACCAAAACACACAGATTCCAAGAACTGTCCTAAATATAGAAAAAGAAGAAGAAGCAGAGAAAGAAAGAATTTGTTTTATACCTGAAGAAGACGAAGAAGAAGAAGAAGAAGAAGAGCCAGTGGTAGGATAAGGAGAAGACCTCTTGGGAGCACCATTTGGGTAGAAACTGTAACCTATAAAACATTTGTGAAGATATATCTGACCCGATACTGAGCTTCCACACTCCACCTGAGCTCTCTGTAACGCGTTTTTTATGCAGCTGCTACAATCTGAGTCCCCTATATCGCCTTCGCATTGTCCTAATACGTACACCGATTCGTACGTCGTCGCGTAGAAGCCGTGACCCTGAACGACGCCGTTTTGCATCACCCCGAACGCTGTGTCTCTCCTCTGCTCCAATCCTGTTCCGGCGGCAATCTTCTTCCCACATGTCTTGAACAACAACTCCATCCCTGACCAGCAAAAACATACCAAACCGGGTTAAACTTACACACTCTCGGTTCGGTTTTATTTTTAACCGAAATTAATCCGATAACTAAGAAGAGCTTCTCTGGTTCAGTCGTATCCCCTAGCTTATTTTATTACTGGTTCGGTTTGGGTTTACTAAACCAAATTTTTCAAAAAAAAAAAAGAAATGGAGATTAAACCGGAGAATGAGGTAGTAGTACCTGAAATTTGGGCAAAGCCAGAGATTTCATAGAGAAGATAACAGCCGGAAAGCTGAACCCTAGCAGCAATGGTTTTGCCACAGAGCTTACCAGAGAGAACAGGAAGACGACTAACACAGTTGTAACAGTCGTTGTTACTTAAGTCACCTCTACACTGGAAAAGACCGGTGATGCTCGCCTGGCTCGTTGTTCCGGTTGTGGTTTTGTAGAATCTTGTTTTCGTCGACTGAGTGACCAGAGAGCCATACATTGCGGAGAGAGCTTGTGAGTATAGACCAGAAGGATCTGTCAATTTCTGTCTTGCACAGCCTTTGTAGATTAGGTTTGTGTACTCTGGTGAACCCGATTTTGCTAGCTTGAGATCTGAGAACAGAGCCATGGAGGTTATGGTGATGATGCATAGTGACAGGAGCTGCTTCATTGTAGAAAAACCTATTTTTTTAATTTGTTGTTGTTGTTGTAAAAGAATCTTTTGCTTAGAATCAAATCATCAGTTTGGTGTTGTAGAGTTTAGTGGAGAAGTAAGAGATTTTTGAGGTTGTGTATGATGGGTAATGAGAAAGATTGAATCTTTTTTTTTTATGTGGGGTGTGACTGGGAACTTTTTTTTTTGGGGGAGTATATGAAATTCTGTGTTTGGTGGATCAGTAAAAGCTCTTTAATTTTGCTTGTTTTCTGGGTTTTTTTCTGAATTTGGTTTTAATGGGTGAAAGAGAGAGATGTTTATTTTGAGGGGAAGGCTGTGGATGACAACACTCTTTTCTCTTTCTGTGGAAATAAAGAAGAATTAGGATAAGAGTAGAGAGAGTGTAGTGTAGCTATGGAGAAGGGAGAGAGAGCGCAACTCTTTTGTTTTTCTTCTTTTTTTATTTTATTTTAATATATAAACAATCAATGGGGAAACACTTCTTCTTCAGCCATCACTGACCACTCTAAAGGGCAGTACAGTGAGTTTGGTTTGTATTGCAGGCTTTCTCAGTAAATCCAAATTATACCATTCATTATTGTATTTGATTGTTTTAAGTCTTTTTTTTTACTTGCACTGCTAATCTTATAAACAAACTCTAGGTAGCCTTCTTTTAGCAACCTCATTAAAAAAAGGAAATTCATGTCTACTAATTTATTGTACGCTTTTTGTTTTATTTCTACTTTTGTTTATAAATGAAACCAAAAGAGTATTTATTTTACGTGAAATGTGTATCCATAAATTTATTAATCTCAATATTACTAGTTATAAGCTTCAAAGAACTTAACATCTGTACTTTGTAGCTGTTCCTCAATAAGTTAATACTAATGTAGATATCACGTACGCTAGTAAGGTTAGTTTCTGTATTTTTGCAGCTTTTCATTATGGTTTGTTATGGTTCAATAAAAGATAGCATTCCATCATGCGAGATAAATAAATAACATCACAGAAGAAACAGAAACATTCTTCAGAAATTTATAAGAAACACATGGTTAACCCAAATTTGTCAATAATGGAACTATAAAGAAATGGAAAGGGAATAATTTATATGTCTTGATGCCGAAACATAAAACACCTTTTCAATGACACTAAACTAATCCTGGAATTTGTTAAAGGAATCTGACATTCGTTGCAACAATGTAAATATTGTGCTACTGTTAATTATTGACCAAGACCAAAAGTACAGTCAAAGCTTTTCTTTTACGTTTTTAAGTTTGTCCATCATATCTCTGTCTTACCTTTTACCAATTACACTGGTCAAGAGTCTTCCTTTCATAATTTTAATCAAGTGTTGTTCTAATATGGGATGTGAAGATAGCTGCAAATAAGAAAACCCACTTTTTCTAATACACAGAATAGTACTAAATCTTGTTTAACCGGATCAGTTAAGGCTCTAACAATAATGACTTAATTTGATTTTTAGCTTCGATCATTGGTAACAGAGAACACATTTGCCATTTCGTACAGATTTTGAAGGTACATAAGAGAGATTAGTAGAGCCTATACGATAGAGAAAATGGAGTGAGAAAACTCAAAAGAGTGCGGGTGGAAATTTCAAGAAGTAACCGAAGAAGATCACCATCACAACTCTCTAACGACCAGCACCGAATGAATTCTCCCTATGGCTGCAAATACTGTAAGATACAACAGAAGTTGAGATTTTTGAAGGAGATATAACCGGACGGAGATGGTTACATGAACATTTGGACTTCGTTGAATTGGTTTTTATGGATTCTTTATGACTCTTGTGCAGAATCTTCATCGGCATTGGCTTTTTCGTTACCAGGAAGACCAAATATCCGTAGGTTACGGTCCATCGAACCAACTGCAACGTATTGTGCATCTTGACCAAACTTCACACACGTAGCTTTACCTGCAATTTATAAGGGTTCTCGAATTAGGAACAATATCTCTATATGACCATTGAAGGAGTTACGTAAAGGGATTTTACCAGTGCCGGAGAGATCTGGGAGTGTCTTGACAAGGTTCCATTCTGCTTTCACACTTGCTGTCTGGTATACTCTGCAGCCAAAACATAAATACATTTTGTTGAATTAGAACATGCAGGTTATCGAGCTAGGTCTCTTTGAATATTTTCTTCAGCTGAGCTTAGACTTTGATAAACTATTTTCAAATTTGTATTCACCTGATATCTGATGCAGCAATACCGAGATAAGATCCACTAGGGTCAAACTCCACTGCACAGAATAATAAGTATTGTCATCCAAGCTACCTAATACATGAATATTTCTCTATGAACAAAACGACTGAAGTGAACACAGTCGATTTATACCAGAGTTTGCATCTGCAGATAAAAATGACTTGAAGTTCCTTAACTTGCGCAGGTCCCACAACCTAACACCATCCTCAGCAGCAGTCTGTTCATTCCCCAAACAAAAAGAAAATCAGTCATGTATGCAGAACTGTAGTAATATTTTCCCTTCTCCTAGTTTGTTCAAAGTACTTACCGCAAGGAAATAACCATTTTCAGAGAAAGATATAGCCGTAACTTCTCCGGTGTGTCCATCAAACTTGGCCACATTTGCCTATTATCCAACACCATAATAAAACTATAATGAAGAACAATGTACGTAATTACTGATTTTAAGAGGTAATATAGCCTGGAAGGGCAGTGTTTTATTACCTGACTTTTAACATCCCAAATCTTAACAACAGACTGAGAAGTACCGGTTCCAAGAATGAGACCATCGGGATGGAAAGCAGCAGCTGTGTAATCAACTTTCCCTGAAACTTCAGATACCTGAAAGTGCACAAAAATATAAAAATGGCTCATATTAGGAAAGGAGCTCGTAATCTAAATATACACTGACCTAAGGATTAGATGTTACTATGCCTATGAAGAAATAATAATCCAAACAATTGTTTCTCGTGGATATACATAATTATTTGCTGTGATATGTCATACAGGCAAAGCTAGAAAGGAAGACAGGTAATAGTTATTTTTTTCACGAAAGGGTTTATGGACCTGAGCAAGGCATAAGCCAGAGGAAAGATCGTAAAAGCACCATGTACTGTCAAGAGATGCTGACACAAAGTATTTATTCGTAGGGTGCACAGTTACAGCTCGAACCTGAAAATAGCATCATTGCCTAAAAGTAAACAAAAATCATATTAAAAAAAAAAGTGTAACGGATTATGAGAGTTATCCTTACCTCTGCAGAGTGATCATTCAATGTATGCCCACAAGCATAATCCCCATCCCCAGAGTCCCGCCAGATACGGACTGTCTGCAGGTAAGTAGTAATAAATATATAAATATACCTATCATAGAATTGGTGATGTATATCCCCTCTGAGAAAATTAAACAGAGTATCCAACAAATCGTAGAGGTTTCTGGCGTGTATAATTTAAATATCCTTCATAACTAGCAATGAAACAAAGTTAATCAAAGATAGCATTATGATATCTACAGAATAGAAGCTACTAGTCATCTTTTCACCCTTCAAATATACAAATGTATCTGCCAGCTACTACTTTTCAAAACAAAGGCAATACACAATGTTGGATTACATATTTCCTACAGAAGTAAGACCAGGCATTATTCAATGAAAAACTGAAACAATGGATATAAAGACTGTAAACATATCTTGAGTTACCTTGTCAGCAGAAGCAGTCAAAACAAGATCAGCATCACCAACAAATTTTACGCTTGTAACCTACAATAGGATCAAGACATATTAAGCACCCAGCTTCATAAAAAAGTAGAACAAAAATCTAAGGAAACAAATTAGAAACCTTCTTAGAGTGACCAGTCAGTGTTGACAAGATTTGTCCAGAAGGACGATCAAAGAGAACAGCAGTTGCATCAACACCTCCAGTAGCAATGAGATCCTGATTAGCAAATTAAGACGAATACTGAGAATAAAATTTTACACCAGAAATAGTGTTGTGGGATATCAAATGCAAATCAAAGAATCACTGGTTGTAATCATACACAGCATATTGGTATGTACAAGGCAGATAGAAAATAGTATGCAAAAAAAAGACATAACAATGATATGACCATTCCCCAACCACGGACTCAAGGCTGTATACAAATATTTTAAACATAGACGTTTTCCGGTGGGCTATCACATACTGTGGCAGTGCCTTCCAAACACAGAGGAAAATAAGAATAAGTGATGTGATAAGCAACCTTAGAATGTAGAATGTCCATTGAACAAATGCCTGGTTTGTTGGTCTTATGAAGTGGGTGGCTTGATAGCTGAGTGAACCTCTCCAAAGCATCTATTGAAGCCAATGTTTGAGGAATCTACAAAAATAATGATAAAACTATCAACACAGCAGGAACCAACACAAGAACAGGCAGGATCGCAGCAGGCAGAAACATTTTCCTGTTAAGTTCAAACACATCCTTCCTAGTATCTAAATATACATATTGAGTAACATATATCATAAGCTTAAACTACTACATTTGACTTTTATAAACAAGAAAAGAATACACAAACGCAAGTCATCAAGTCTTAACTTTCAAATGCATGTTTAAAGATAAATGAGAATATATGCTACCTGTCGCTTTTTGCGCTTCTGGGAAAGAGCAGCATTACAATCAGTCAATTCCGTGATAATTTCAGCTGAAATTCCAGGACGCAATTTCTTCGCATCAGGAACCAGGTCATCATCACCTGCAGCTATTATACAACAAAAGCGTATAGTAATCTGGTACAAGAGGGAAAACTAACTAGCCAAAATAGTTTGAGTAAAAAGTGTAAAATCATACCTCGTTTACCATTGCTCAGATTAGCATTAGCTGTGACAGCTTCAGGGGCAGCAGGTATATGTCTTTCAACTTCTGCGAGCAATTGGCGTGCTTCGTCTCTTTCTTTTTTAAGTCTAGCAATCACACGACAAGCAGAATCATGCTGCAAATAGAAGGTATAGTTATCTCATAAATAGACCAATCACATGTAATAAAAGATGAAATGATTGAGGAAAGTAAAACTAGGGTACATAAAGAAAAAAGAAAAACTGACCATGGCAATCGTAAAGCGATCGCACATACACAAAACCGAAATTACCTGATACAAGGCATGACTTAGCTCTTGCCTTGCAGTATGTAGTTGTTGTTCCAGTGCAAAATTTGTTAGCATCAAACCATCCCATTCCTATAAGTGCAAAAACGATAAACTTCTTCATGGAGTTACTTGGTATAATTCAACCCAACTAATAAACAATTTCTCTTTACTATCACTTATAAAACAAGTAAATGACAGCACAAAGCTGTGTTAAGTGTAGATGACATATGTTCACTGACAAAATTTTGTACAATTTCAATAACCAATCAAGGACAAGTTTGTTCTAAGTCGATAAACAAAACTCCACATGACCAATAACAGAAACAGGGGGACATTTTCATAGTGAACCTCCCATACAGAAAAGAAGTAGAAAACCAAGAGAAAAGGAAGGAACAAAGTTGCAAAACAATAAAAAGCTTACGTTCTGAAACGTTCCAAGCATTCCAGGGATGCTAGCTGTATGCAATGTTTTTGGCTTTATGATCTACATAATGGTTAAAGAACTTAAAACAGCTTAAACAAATTTCGTCAACAATGCTCGGCATCAAATAATTAAAGAAATTGTCTTACCTTCCCAGCTTTGATGGGAACAATGTCCTCAATGGTAAGAGGTTCACCAGTAACCGGGCACTTCCCATTATCCTAAAGGAGTGGAAGAATTTCTAAGAAAGCATTACCAATAACACCAATATTTTTATCCAGAAATTTGAAGCTACAGAATCAATGATTGAAATTTACGCATTCATCTGGCTAATAAGAATCTTCTAAGTTCCCAAAAGAATATATTAACCAGGTCAACTGATAAATCTAAGACAAACGAACAAACGAAAAAGTGAAATGAAATTCGAATCTCACTAGTCCCCATCACCGAAGTTATCAAAATTTTCACACTGATTATCCGTAGTAAACCAACCGAACATTACTCAAATTACAAGAAATTTTCCGGTGTGAACAGAAAACGAGGCAAGATTAGTAATTGACTTTGTCAGAATCACAAGGAAAAAGCTCCAAGCTTACCGATATATGCCTTTCGATTAGTCGTCTCTCGAAGAGCAAACCAGACTTCGTCGAAATCACTGGTTCCTCGGGAACTTCTCCAGAAACTGCAACACCAAAATGCCGCCACCAACATCAATTACAAGAAAATCCTAAATCGGCATATTGAAAGAAGAAAAAGAAAAGAGAGAGGCGAATAAAAGCTTTACTTGCACAGTTCATCGTAGAGGGAAGGAGTAATACGACGAAGAAGTACGAGCAATCAGATAGACGTAGAAGTCCCGGTGAAGTCGGGCGGAGCTAGCTAGGGTTTCTATCTTCTCCGGTCCGGCGCTACAAAAGCAAAATCGCGGAAGCCGGGAAAAATGTTGAAGAGAGAGAGGAGAAGCTCAACAACACTCTCAGCAGTCAATATTAGGGATTCAATTTTGCGCGAAATTTGGGCCTTTTTCATCACTGTTTAATATTTGGGCTTTATTCGATCTAAGTCGGTCCAAAAAGAACTCTACAACGACGGCGTTTTATCCTGTAGTAATATCTACATACCGTAACTCTTTTTTTTTTTTGTGTAAACAAATACGTATCTACATAACTCTATGTTGTGCAAACATTATCTACATAAGTCTTTTAACTGTCAGGCAAATAAAAGTTGTTTCGTATAATTTCTGAAGATGATTTCAGTCATATGACTCATATCGACCTTCGTATATTTTTATATAGTAGTTGATTTTTCATGAGAAAATACAATATATGAAGTCGAAAAATAAAAATTAAATGAGAGCATATTGCCAAAAACTTCATTGTTGGTTTGTAAATAAATTAAAGCATCAGCAAAAACGAAAACTATATTGACAAGGAAGAAAAGCATTAATAAATATCAACCCCATTAAAACGTGCGAGTGCGAACGAGTATGGTGGAAGAGTCACTAGCTATAGTCACTACTCACTACTCACTACTTAGTCTATTTATCAGTTCATCCCACTATTTATGGGATGGTAAAAACAAAGGTAATTATCACACGTGATTTATGAGAAATAGTGAAACAAAATTAAGGTGGTTTATATGTTTACGATTTATCTTCCTTTTCTTAACAATTCAAAGCAGTATGTTTACAAAGATATTTGTTAGAAACTATGTGTGAAATGGTGGAGGATAACATATTTTTACATTACTTATCCAATTTGTTAAAATAGTGCAATCTTTTTATAGGAGCAATGTGTGATTTGAACTAGAATTGAAACAAACTCACTTGTCTGTGGAATGAGAGCTTCAAGCTCCCGGTTGGAAGAAGGAGCACAAATATTGAATGAGGATAAGTGAAGTTCGTCTTTTAGGAGCCATATCACGTACTATCTTATAGTCCAACACATCTTATATACGTACCAAAATCCAACAACTACTACATTTTCTTACGACAAATAAATACAACGATCTAAAATATCGTAAGAATATGTTATGGGCGAATAAAGGGTACATATATATGCTTTTACATTTCAGTGACAATAAGAGATATGATTGGTAACTTGGTATATTGGCATGTTTTCAAATGCGACCTCCACAGGTTAGATTGAAAAAAAGACACCCAGGGATGAAAATATACCGCCGTCAAAAAAAAAAAAAAAAATGTGTACTTAATTTTATTTTGTATATGAATATAATGTTAATGGCTAAAGATATAGGACGATGCGGGTACCATCTTAATTAAGCACGATAGTTGTGTCCTTTCTATTTGCATAAAAGTTATATTCTTTTAGGATCCAAAGATGAAAACGAACTCTCATACAAATACAATGCCCTATAACTGATCCAAAGATTAATTAACATAGCTGGCCGTCTTTTTTCTCGTGGAAGTGGTGGTCGCTTTCTATTTGGATGATGCGTGTGCATATATTGGATCAGAGACTTTAGATGAAGAGATGGTCATATCTTCAAAGTATCAATTCATCAAATCAGCTTTGATCTTAAGCTGTTCCATTTTGTACTTTTCTCTTCGTTTACTTCTCTCTATATATAAACATTTTAATTAATTATTGCCATTGTCATGATCCCAAAATAGAAAATTTATACACAGATATTCCTTAGATTTGTCTTGATCGTTCTTACGTACATGTATAGTGTAGTTTAAGGTCATAACGTTACGTTAATATCGCATATCTGATATAACAACGATAAATTTGTGCAGACGACTTACAATATCGCATATATATATATTGGGTGAAAGTACCTAGATAGACTCATGACAATGATTTTAAAAATGCTACGTACATAGACTTTTGTGACCGAAATAAGATACTGATAGACGATGTTGATGTCTCATGATTATAGCAAATAAAAATATATACTCTTCTAACAATAAATATAGAGATGTTTACCAAGTGAAATGCAAGATACACTTAATCCTAAATTAAAACACTCTCAAAAGAAACTGAAATGATAACCTAGTTTAATCGGCAACACAATTGCAGATGTTAACTTTAGACTTCAATAGTTTTATTCTTTAAATACATGTTTACAGATTTGAAGTCAAAATGTGACAAAAGACTCGTAATGTATTGTTTTGATGGATAACACATAACAGTAACACGATTCATACTTTCGTTGATTTTAATTCATTAGATCTGAGGATATATACATATCTCTCTCTTTTCATAATTTATTCTGTTATGGACCTTATGGTTACAAGAATAACAAAAGTGCACGAAAATGAAATCTCAAAGCTGGATAAGAGTGCACCAAACATTGACCCAATGCTCAAAATGTCACAAATCACAATCACAGAATTTTTGTATAAGAATTCATTTTCTCATGGAAAAAGAATTTAAGTTCGAAGTTGGTTAAACATTGTTTTCGAATTTTATCTTTTTCTAAATAATTTTTCCACTCGGCAATTATATGCTTATTGTCCAAAGATACATTTTTTAAAAAATCTTCTTTTCTTACTATATTTTTTTCCGAATATTTGACTGACCTGGTCGAAATCTTTCCCACTCCTTTGTGCAAAATTCACGAGCCAAAGTCATTAAAATTAGCAAACGAAATACAAGATAGTAAAAAGAAAAGAAGAAAAAATGTAGTTATCTAAAAAGAAAAATAGAAAACTAATTCCACGAATATAGGGGCTTAATTAAGAATAATTTTTCAGTCAAACACGTCAAAATCCACGCAACAAGAATTGCGTCAAACTCATTGACCCGTCACTCCTATGTGAAACCATGTTCACACGTCAGCATCATAACATCAACGTGACATTGCCACATCATCAAATTAATCGTTTAAGTGCCATGCTGGCATATAATAACGTCCATGAAAAATAATATTTCACGTAAGTATATATATAAGTGGATAATATATATACAAATGTATACATACACATCAAGGAAAAGTATATAAATGTATGATGGTTACGTGAAACTCCCATAACCTCTTCTTTTTGTTTCATTTTCCAGAAAACTGCAAGAAATTGTTTAAATATATTCTCTGTCGAAACAGAAGAAACCTTTTTGTTTCTGTTTTGATTCAGATCATCTCTTTGGTTTTTTCGGTTTTAATTGTTGTTTGAATTTTCTGTTTTGATTCAGATCATCTTCCAGTGTTTGAATTTTCTTCGATGGATTGTTTTCTTGTTCATACATATTCATCACTCATTCCAACATTATCCCACAAAGCACCATATCGTTCTTTAATTTTCTTGCTATAATTCGTTTTTTTTTCTGGGGAATTTTCTTTATTTTTCCCAGAAAATATTTCGCATTTTAACATTGGAGAGATATACAAAAGAAGAAGTAACCAAAACCATGTTGCAAGACGTGATCTCGTCTCATGATCAGCTTTCCATCGTAATCCTCTTCTTACATTCTTTCTATATCATCATTTATATGCATGCGTGTGTTGCCTTGATGTGTTTTGTCTTTGAATTTTACATGCGTGTAGAGATTATATAAAACTCGACTCTAATCTTATAAGCTGAGTTATTATTTAATTACTTGTTTCTTTTTTGTAGTCTCTTCTTGGGCAACCCTATAATCTCAATTAGTTAGTTTTCTCTTTTTTTTTGGTGTAACGTCATTTTCTTCTCCTTATATTCCATTTGATCTCTTTTTGAATTGCTTCATACCTTTTAGCTTTTCTTGTTTTTGTGTGTGATTCTCTACACACTTCAATTTATCTTCCATTCCAGTTTTTTATCATTATCATTATCATAATTCTCATTCGCCTACGATTGCTACTTATAAGCCAATAGAAAATCGTCACGTGATTCTACAAAACAACAGTAATCATTTCACGTAATTAAAATGCTAGAATTAGTCTCTCACCTAGGAGTCTTGTACTTTGTATAGTTTGATGCAAAAACTAATGCAAAGATAATACACATTACGTGAATTTTGCACTAGGAGCATTCTGATGTGTTATATATATGATGATGGTTTCTTACATGTTCAGATATTTTATGTAGTGCCCTTTACTTTTTCTTTGTGGGATAAAGATCTAGATGTTGGTTCATACCAGGCAATTTCAATATTTTTTGTCAATACGAAAAAGAAACACCAGAATCAGAAAGCTTTCCTTTTATAGAAACCACTCTTCTTTACTTTTTCTTTTTTAGCTATTCCAACTTCTTTATTAACATGTCAAACGAAAGAACAGATGCATTTAATCTCTCTTTATTACCAACATTTATGCTGTCCTAAACAGTTTTCTTAGAAACAATATTTGGATTTGATCAAGACACAAAAATCTTGGAGTGTTTCGATGTCGATAAACAGAATATAAAAAATATCTTATAGATTCTCTCTAGATAATTAAGCAATTAGGAGAACCATATTTTTCTTGAGCATATATACATCTGCCTTAAAAACCAATCTTGCAGTAACTTCTTAAGAATCTCAAAACTTACTTTTTTTTTTCTTGTGACTCAAGCAAATTTAAACCTCTGTTCTCTTCTTTTGATGCTTGGCTTTAAAGTAATGTCTCTCTTGATCATTTACCTTCGATCTTCTCGATATATATAATCTTTAATTAGATCTATTGATTCTTTGTTTACTTTCAACAGGATGATATCACGAGCCCACTCAGTGCTCAAATCTTCGATTTCTGCGATCCACAACTCTTTCAAGAAACTTTCAATCAAACCTCTGAAGTCACATCTTCTTCAAACGTTCTTGAGAAATCCGGAAGCTTCCAATCCAACACTAACACAACCACAACAACTGAGAACAGTAACAACAACAAGAGCATAAGACTTCAAGACGATGAAGATGACAACAACAACAACACGGATCTGTCCATAATCTTTGACTCACAAGAAGATTTCGAAAACGACATAACGGCTTCAATCGATTTCTCATCTTCTTCACTGCAGTATCCAGTCATCGATCAACTCCTCACGGCAACGAGCCAAGACCAGTTTGATTTCTCATCAGGACTCCAAGTTATTCACCAACCTCCTCCTAATAACATTTCTTTCTCTGAGGACCCTCTGTCTCTACCGGCGGTTTCCTCTCTAGCTCCTCCTCCTTTACAATCAGGGGGTTTCGAAGAAGACTGTCTTTCTTCTGTCCCAAGTTACAATCTTGGCTTGAACACTTCTTACTCTTTCTTCCGTAACTCCGGTTTACCGGCTTATATGAGCACCGGTTTATTCTCAGCTGAAAATAATCTCGGTTTTCTTCCCGGTAATATTCAAGTGGGATCAGAAATCAATAAGCCACATGATCAATTCATGGACTTCCAAGCTGATAATGGTGGCTTATTCTGTCCTGATTCCATCAAACGTATCTTTAATCCAGAAGATCTCCAGGTATACTGAGTTTCTTGATCTAGGATTTCCGGTTTGGTGTTGTGATGTTATGCTAACCGGCCGGTTTATTTTTGTTGAAGAAGGCACTTGGTGTTGGTGGCGTTGAGAACCAGAGCCACTTGATGACACCCCAAGCTAATCCAGCAATAGGACCGGTTGAGATCAACGGTTTAGAAGATCCAACGTTGAGTAAAGTTGGAAAACTCTCCCCTGAGCAAAGGAAAGAGAAGATTCGTAGGTACATGAAGAAGAGGAACGAGAGGAACTTTAACAAGAAAATTAAGGTTCGATCATTTTTACCAAACCAAACCGGATTTAACTATTGGTTGATGTTGTTTCAATGATCTTTTTGTTGTAGTATGCGTGTAGGAAAACATTGGCAGATAGTAGACCAAGAGTTAGAGGAAGATTTGCAAAGAATGATGACTTTGGTGAACCAAACAGACAAGCTTCTTCAAGCCATCATGATGATGAAGATGAAGACGATATTGTAAAAACCCGATTTATATAATCTATATGTACGTTGTTTTTAATCAAATTCTTACTATAAACTGGTTTGGTTTACAGATGGGGGTAGTGAAGGATGAGGAACAATTGGTAGATTCGTCAGACATTTTTGCACACATTAGTGGAGCCAATTCCTTCAAGTGCAACTACCCAATTCAATCTTGGATTTGAGTTCCCAAGTACCACACCACAATAACACATGAATCTTAATTATAGTCTTATATAGTTATCTAAATTTTATTTTCTATAGAGTTATAACTTGTCTAATAATAAATAAAAATCTAAGCAAAATAAATAAAATAACAAATAAAGATAATGAATAAATGGGTTAAGGAAGGTTCGGATAAATAAAACAGTAGTAGTGAGTGAGTAAGGTTTAATTATGTAACGTAGAAATTCCAAAATTTTGTAGATACAGTATGTTACATTCCCATATAATATTGATATGTGATATCTTGTATTTGATATATACTGTAGTTGGGTTGTATTTTATCACCTGTGAACACTTTACATTAAAATCAGTTTGAGTTATTCTTTTGCTCCTTTCACATTCCATATATTTCCTAAATTCATTCAAATGTTCTAGTTCTAGGCATACTTGAGAAACTAAAAAATGAATAGACAGACATGTTTGATCATTGATACGTTGTTCTGTCATGTCTAATAAGACCTGATTAGAAGAACTTAGGAGATTTAATTAATTTAGAAAGTAAATGTTTAATAAATAAAGGAAAGCAATTAGTGGGCTTTGTTTTTATCAAAATGTTGGACTGGGCCAACAGTGTGTTAAAGATCGATTTAAAGGCCTCCTTTGTAGCTATCATTTATGAAGATTGTAGAGCTCAACTCAAACGATCGACAACTTTACATGCGCATAAATGAGGATCGTACTCGTACATACCATAATTTCCCAATGGGTTGAGGAAGAAAAAATTGTATTAGCTTTGAATACAGTGCATTGTCTTGATTATATTATTTTTCTTCGTATATTACTGAAAAGTGAAAACCCTTATGCTAAAATTGACTTAATAAGTTCTAACCAAAGACTGTTAAAAATATAAATGGCGACTAGGTCAATGATTTCGAACCAAACACATAAAAGGCAAAGATTAAAATATAGGGATTTTGACTTTAGAGGTAAAATGATGACAACGACCCATTTGAAAGGTCCAGCAGAAATCTGTTGTTTTTATTTTATATTTATCCTATAAAACTGTGTATATTCAAGAGTTGAAACTTGAAACTATGTCATTTGACTTATAAACACGATAAATACAGTATTCTAAACTTACGGCCATAATAATGTATTTTTCGGTGTAAGAAAAACAAAGTGATTTCATTACTGTTTTGGTCCCTTAATGTATCGTTTAATCGAGTCTCCTAATAGTCCAATAATGGATTATAAAATTCACGATGCCAATAATTAAACGGTTTAGAAATATAGACTAATTCACGATGCCAATAAAATTCACGAGTCTTTTGATAAATTAAACATCCGATCTTGATCTATAAAAATATAGACTAATTACACAACTTGATCACGATAATATCTTATCAACATTGAATCTATTTTCTAACTTATTTTCCAGGACATCTACACGTGTGTTTAACAAAATAAGAATATCAATAAATATGATTTTAGACCAGACAAAACTAACGAACTATATAATCCAAGTACTAAACACATGCATGAAAAAAACATATATTATGGTTGACGCTTAACACGGCTAGAGCAAACATACGGACCGGATTTGGTGGAAGAGAGTATCTTAGATAATTCAAACCAGAGCATCAGTTTTATAATAACAGTAACACGGTAGGTCGACTGAGTTTACACTAATATTTAAAGTCATGTAGACATATATATTTACTAAAATATGATATAGTCTTTTAGATGAATTATTGAGACTGACATTTTACGATATTCAAGAAGAATAATACACATATGTAGTGGAACTAAACTTCACTGCATTATTATTATCATATATCGCGAGAGATTTACGTATTTGAAAATTTGAAATTTATGATGAAGTAAAGAAGCAACAAAATGGTCGAGTCAATCATGTGCAGGAAAGCTCATGGTCCGATATGAGACAAGATAGTTTTGTAATTTTGTTGGTTGGTCCATAGATTCTCATTATTCGGTACATAAAATATCACATATATGTTCTAAAGCCTCCAAATATTTCCAAATAGTTTAATCATGTATATAAAAAGGCAAAATATGTATTGTAGAGTTTGGTTTTTTCTAATAAAATTTTCAAACATTATGATTGTTTAATTTTTGCCATTATTGTATACATATATATATAACTGACGTTTTTAGAACGCAAGCATACAATTTAGAAACCTCTTATTTTCTCGATGATGTTAGTCTTACCTTGTTTAGTACGTATTTGTTAAAATCTAACAATAAACAAATTAGAAAACTAACTAGAGACTTTAGAAACTTTGTTGAAAATTCATATTCTACATGCTTGAAATTTATTATTATTTCTTCTTTTAATGCGTAACTAAATGTTTGATAATTAGTACCATTTCTGTCGTTTTTGCCCAACTCATATTAAATAGAAACGAAATATATAGCTAAAAATACAAAAGTAATTATATATATATATATATATATATAGAAAAAAAAATTGATCCGGTCTTGGTAAAATAATCTCAATTTTTTTTTTTAATATTCAACAATGGTTATCCAAAATATTCAAGATCCGACTAATATTGTTAGCAATTTGTTTTCTTTAATGTGAAACGAGACTACATATAAAACGTCCAAATCAAAACCTAATCGTATGAACGATGGGTGGACTAATTTGTTTTGATCCACTATATATTATCCATATGACTAACATTTTTTAATTTTAGAAAAAAATTATACACAAAACTTTATTGAAATAGAGAAAAAAGGAAGAAATAGTGAATATAAAAAAAAAGAAAAAAAAAAGTGAATAGAAGAAAAATGAGAATAAAATGTGAGACCACTCTGAAACAGTAACTTCTATAGTCTTCCTGCTTTTTATCGCCAACAAGTAGCCATCACTACCACCTTCCTTTAGATTCCTCACTCTCTCTCTCTCTCGATCGTGCCCACCAGCTCACTCACCCTTAATCCCACACTTTAATCAACCCTAATCACACTCGAGCTTTGGACGAAAGAGAAGAAAAAAGGAAAGAAACACAACACACAAGAAGTGGGTCCTCGTTTTGTAAGAAGCCCCTTCCTTATTAGTAGTAGTGGCCATAGTCAAGGTCACACCACACACACACGCATAAAAAAAAGACGTTCCTTTTTCTCTTTCGTCTCCATTGGTACTTACTTACTAGTCAGACATTAACGTGCCTTAGTGAAACCACCACCACCCCCCCCCCTCTCTCCTCTCTCTCTCATTACGAACCCAGAAAAACAAAACTCTTGCTTCCAAAGCTTTTCCCACTTTCTTCTTATTCCCCTCCAACTCATAATTGCTTATAAGAAGCATAAATTTTGTTTCTTTTTTCTCTGTTTCCTCTTTAAGGGGTAATTTTGGAGATACATAAGAAAGAAGATCCGCAACAATCCAGAATTGGCGGAGGAGATTGCTTTGGTACCCATTTGAGATTACTCTTCGATCCAATAACTTCTTCTCCCATCCAGGTAAAACATTTAAAGGTTTGATTTTTCAGAATCAGTTCATGGAGTTATTGTGTAATTTACTACCTTTGTTGCTGGTTCCTTCTTCTTGGACCAAAGTTGAACAATCATGGACCTCTGAATTAGCTTAGGTAAAGGAAGTGATACAGAGAATTTTAGCTTCTAGGTCCAATCCTGAGTTAAACTTACTACTCCTTCTGTAGTTTTCTCTGTTTACTTGAGTTAGGTGCTAAAATCCTCCAATGTTTCCGTCGAGCGTGTAAACTCCTATCAAAGTTTAGCTTTTTCCTCCAATTAATGGGGTACATCTAAAAATTCAAGCTTTTATTTGATTGTCAATTTGCTTGTGTAGGGTTCTTCGTTTTTAGCTTTTTGTTGCTTTTAGGTAAGAGATTAGGTATAGTTTTTTTTAATAAAACCTCTGACTTTTCAGCAAATTAGCTTTGTTGCATTAAGAGTCTCTAATTCGGCTTTTGTTTGAAATATAGTAGATTCACACTACATTTGGTATTCTGCATTATTTCGATAATATAACCAAATGAGGTTGTCGTATTGTCCACAAGAGTTGCTAACTTAAGCTAAAATCTTGTGCTTATTAATGCATTCCGAGTTACATTCTCATTCTGCTCTGTTCATGTTTGTCTTTCAGATATTTGGAAGTGTTCTAGGGTGTACCTCGAATTCGTATAATAGAATGGGAAATTAAAATTTTCTCGGCTTTTGTTTTAAGTGGGCGAGCTAACAATGGGGAGTATTGCTCCTGATTCTCAGAAGGATGATTCTGAGCTTGAAGATTCACTGGACATTGATGAGAATCCGCCTGGGGAATATGGTTTATGGAAGTCAGGAACATTGCTGAGCCAGAAAAGGCAGCAATGTAGTGTAGTTGCAAACAGTGGAAAGTGGTTACAGATTGTTAAAAACGGTCCCAAGGGGTCGTTTACTCGTGCGACTAGTTTCTTTGATAACAAGATCCCAAGGCATCTGGTGTCATTAGACGAGAAGTATCTCCGACGATGCCTCGAGCTGATTAATATCAGTGCGTTTAAGTCAGCCAGTTGCAGCCTTTCTTTGAATCTTGTAGGTTCAAAGATGAGTATTTCTTCACGTCACTTCGATTCACCTGTGATCCCCAAAGAAAATGTTGCTCGCCTTGTGTTTGATCTTCCCTTGGTTGATGATTCGGGCAGTCCAGTCATTAGCCGCGCAATTATAGGTTGCAAGAGGGTTACACATATGCTTAATAAGCCTTTGTTACAAGATCTTGAAGCATTCGATGGTGATGATATGAATAGCAGGGCAAGTCGAGATGATTATGGTGAAAACGAGTTGGTTTCATGTGATGTTGTGAGGAAGATAGAGGAAAAAGACATCCTGGATTCGCAATTTCAGAGATATAAACCTGGAAACATGCCTAGAAAGACGGTCTCTTTGTCTAGCACAAACTCAATGACTTCTTCTTCTTCTGAGCAATCTTCTTCATGGTTGTCTCCGTCTTCCACAGTTTCTCAAGGAGCACTTCAGTTCACTATGAAAGACAACAAGACACCTCACTTTGTTTTCTCATTGGATGATCAGAAAGAGATCTATGTAGCTAGCTTAAGCACTAGTCATGTTGGGTCAGGGTTCGACCGTAGTTCGCTAGACTATTCATATTTGATCCATTTGAAGAAAGGCCGCGGATCTGAACAGCAACATTTGGTTGGTAAACTGACTGTATCCACTTTGATTTCTGTCTCGTCCACGAATGAAAAAACAGTAGAGAGACAGTTTGTTCTTTTCAGCAGTGGTGGGAATCCGCAGTTACTGTGCCCCAATGATATCAGGAAAAATAGAGGATTGCCTAAGAAAGTCGTTGATGCGATCAAAAACACCGCACGCACTTCAAGGCAAAGAAGTATCTCTCGATTCAGTAGAACAAGCTCCATCCCGGATTTTTGTTCGTGGGAGCCATTTCAAGAACCAGACCACGATCTTGAACCTGTAAGTTTGCTAGATAATGACCTTCCACCAAATCTTGAAACCTCAGCTATTGTTGTGAGAGAACAGTTTCCCTTGGAGGAAGAAGAAGAAGAAGTCGAAAAAGTTGGAGGCTGGGGCATGAAGTTTCTCAAGAAAACTCCCTTAGCTCGAACCAAGGAAGCTTCTAATCATTCTAAGCATTCGACAAGCATAGATGTTGTCATTCCTTCAGGAATTCACGGAGGGCCGAGAAATAGAAACGGTGGTCCGTCGAGCTTGATTCAGAGATGGAATTCTGGTGGAGGCTGTGATTGCTCTGGATGGGACTTGGGTTGCCCCTTAACTGTCCTTAAAGGCCAAACACGAAAAGACCAAAATGAAGGCCAGTGCACTCTTTTTGAGCTCTTCACAGAGGTAACACTAAGATCCATTTATCATCTCCTCACCCATACATCAGAGAATAAATGAAAAGTTTCATGCAGACTAGAGGGAAACTCAATCTTGGTCATGTTGACTCCGAAATTCGATTAATTTTCTTGTGTATGTGTATCAGGGACTGATGCAGGGAAGCCCTGGACTAAGGATCATGAATGTTCGTGATGGTCTCTACTTCGTCCAATCTCAAGCAAAGATATCTGTTTTGCAATCTTTTTCCATTGCTTTAGCATACATTCATAGCCAAAGCCAGAGACTCCGGCCATGGTGGTCAAAGAAGTGTACAGACGCTTAACTAGCAAAAGAACGGATTGCACAAAGTAAGATAGGTAAAACTCAGCCTTCATAGTTTTAGTGGGTTCTTGAGTTAATAATACCTACAAATTAGTAGTTATTCAATCATTATTTTTGTGTTCATTTTTGGCTTTTTGTTTAAATCTATTTTTTTTATAGAAAGTTATATCAATGTCTCTTTACTCGAATCATATGTGTGTGAGCTTTGGTATTGATTTCAAAAGGTGTGTGAAATGTAAATTCTGACTTCTGGTTTTGACAATTCTGGTTTTGTATAGAGTTTCTTCTACAAATTACCTTCCAACTTTACGCAGTTAGATCACCAGCAGAGAACTTTTAAACACATGTTAACCCTCACATAAAAATTGTCACCTCAGATCAAATGGTTTTCGTTGATGTCAAGCTAGAAACTGGAACAAAATAAGCAAAATCTCTTAGAAATCAAGACTGAAATATGTCTTTAAGCTCACAAAAGATTCTTTGTCTCTACTTAAATGTTAAAACATCCAAAACATCAACTACTTAAAGTTTCGTTGAAGCAGATACATAACTAGCAAGTGATTCATGAATCTTCAGACAATGGCGTTAGCAGCACTAGCAATCCTTGGCCAGAGATCAGCACACTCTTTCCCAATGGGTCCAGTAATCGCAGAACCTGAAAACAGAAAAACAAACCCAACACATTTCAGAAAATAGTGTAATGCCAAATGTGTTTTGACAATGAACTGATCGAAAAAACAGACTGTAGTACCTTTCATTTCTCCCTTAGGATTCACAATCACTCCAGCATTATCTACAATCCAAGAATTGAAAATCAGTATCAATCTCATTACCATTAAAATTCAACTCAAGAAACTGTGAATTGCAACTGGAAAATTACCTTCAAAGTACATGAAAACACCGTCCTTTCGGCGCCATGGCTTACGTTGCCTAACAATCACAGCAGGGAGAACCTTTTTCCTGAGGTCTGGTTTACCTTTCTTGACAGTGGCCATGACCATGTCACCAACACAAGCAGAAGGCAATCGATTGAGACGACCTTTGATACCTTTAACCGAAATGATGTAAAGGTTCTTGGCACCAGTGTTGTCTGCACAGTTCACTGTGGCTGCAACGGGCAGACCAAGTGACATCCTGAATTTGTTACCAGACGTTCCTCCACGTCCTAATCAAACCCAACAACCACCATTAGAGCAAAACTCTGAATCATTTACCAGTTTATGTTTTCAAGAACATAACATCTTATGAATGAATATCAAAGTTCAATACTTCTAATTATGAGCTGTCTAACTGAATAAATCAGATCCTATGAGTAGACCACAATCATATTTTTTTTTTCATTTTTGTTGAAGTCAATTGGAGAAATCGAGATAAAGAGTTCAAACTTTCAAACATTCAAAACCGAAACTAAAAATGTAACAAATACGAAAGAGGAAGGCTTGGAAATTTGGAATTGAAAAGACAAACCTCGCTTCGACATTTTCGACGGCTCGAGAGCTTAAGGGTTTCGGGTGTCTGATCGAAGAAGCAAAAATGAAGGAGAAGAAGGGGATTAGTGTTTAAACCCCAAACCTAACTAAAGGCCTTTTAAGGCCCATAACAGAGCCCATTAAGCGTTTCAATCGTGAAGAAATGAATTAATGAACCCTTTAATGAAATTGTAAGAACAACATTTATACAGAACCAAAAGGCCCAAAACAACACTTCTCTACTTATTAAGACCGAAAGGTAAAGATTACTAAACATCTTCTCTTATTTATTACTTTGGTACATAGACAGAGTTTACAAACACATTATACAAATCCATAGATTGAGTAACAAGACAAAGATTAAATGACACCAAGCTTTATTCATTGATAACTAAACAAATTCTTAGTCTTGTTTGCGAGAATTGGCTCTCTCTTCATTCTTTTTAGCACAATATTCAAATAAACTTCCATCAAAGCAACCTCTCACAGCTTCTTTAGAAATGAAACCTTCCTCGTCCTTTGCAAGGATATAGAGTAGTATCCATTCAACTTTATTTGAAATCCTGCCACAACCAACAAAAACAAACACCACGACCAGTTAATACACATGCATGTATCATCAAATAAGAACCAAAGAATGCTAGTTACTAACCATCCAAAAGGATCCATTGCCATTCGATTTCCTTCGGTTAAGCTCCAAACCTCTTTAAATGATAACTTATCCTTAATCGTGAGCGCGTATTTGCTAAATATGTTCTCGAGATTAACCGGGACGTACCTACAAACAATTAGCAAATTTTCGGATTGAGTAATATTGAATATTCCATTCTGAAGCTGTTGAGTATTTTTAAATGTTACCTCCCTTCGGTGTCGTAGGTGCTTGAATCACTCCCATGTTTGGCTTTGTGTATGTTGTCGATATAAACAGGCAATAGTGGTGATGGCAACCAACTCTAATTACATAAAGTTGACAAAAATTAATATATTAATCATAGTTATTATTATAATTATATTGGAAGGGTAGTCTTAAAATTTGTTTGCCATACCGGAAGCGTAACGTAGCTAAACGCTAGGTTTATGAATATGCACCAAAAGAGAGATGAGATTGGGTTGAAACCAAGGTCACGAAACCCTACAAAACGAGATACATTTTATAATAGATATTTGATTTTCTTTCTTTTCCTGTTCTGAGGATTAAGAAAAAAGGTGAATTACCCTTGTAAGTCTCCCAAGGATAGACGATACCGTCGCCGTTTTGGTCAAAGAAAGCAGCATGTTGTTGCATAACACTCATTCCTTTGCTGTCGTGACCTTCTGTTCCATTTGGATGCTCTGTATCTGGAGCTGCTAATGCTCTTGCCATATCTGTTTTTCATTTTGAGTTATGACAACAACATGAAAAAACACACTAACCTTTGCTTAGCATAAAACTTGGATAATGTATTGCTCATGTTCTCACAATAACTTAGGGAAAAAATGATTTTAAACTTGATAACCTTAACGATTTTTTCATGTTTATTACTTATCAGTATGCTGTGATTTGATTTCAATTTTCGCTAGATACTTATTAATTAGTTACACATGAAACTCGTTAATAATTTGGACAATCGCACTTACAAGGTTTTGGTAATGTTTCCTCCAGATCATTCCGTACTTTTCGCTGACTGGTCACCGGAGCTAACGGCGCCGTGGTGGCCAAAGCCTCTGCCTCTCCTCCCATTCTCTTTTTTTTTTTCTTACTGGTCGTATCTCTTGGGTAAGTAAGTAAGTTGTTAAATAATTGAAGATGCTCTCTCAGTTTCTTCTTATGTGAAAGACGTACAACATTGATATTATGGTTTAGGTAGGTTCTTTATAAGTAAGAAGAAAGGACGATCGATATGTGCAAATAACACGTGTCGTGACGTTGTGGTGCAAACATTTAAAAGAAAACAAAGACGACAAGTAATATGATCACATATGATTGTATAATATGGTCCGTCCACTTGGATATTTTTAATTTTGCTGAAAATTTTATCCACTTTTTTAATCAGGAGATCGGTGGAAAAAAAACAACGTGCTTGGTTATTCGAAGGGAAAAAGGGAAAAACAAAAAAAATAAAATACAGTCGTACGTTCATTTTGTACATATATATCATAGCATACAATCACATGTATATGTTATATATAAGATCGTATTATGGTAAGTCTTGTTTGCGAGAATTGACTTCATCTTAATTATTCTATAGAGAGCATACAGTAGTTGAATTGATAGTGATAATCAAAGTCACCTAATTCGAACTTCTTGCTCTCAATGGTCGAACCAACGACGGTGCCGACGTGCCAAATGAGTGAAAGGTCTCTGAGATCGGAGTTTTGTTAATTGCAAAGAGAAAAAGGACGATCGAGTAAAGTGACCACGTATGGTCCCATGCACGTGGCTGGAACGATTTGCTGATTTACCTGTGCCGTGTGCGGTTGAATGTGGGACAATTATAAGAGATAATAATAGATTGATGTTTTAGTACATGTGATACGCATAAATAATATTTTATACCAAAAACAAAAAGAAGAAGATTCTCTCCAAAAATTCAGAAAATAACTACTGTATTTAAATATGAAAAAACATACTGCCGTCACATATTCACCCAAAACATTTCTGTATTACCATTTTTTTGCCTTTAATATTATCTCTATATATGCATGTGTTTGATTGGTCACAATTTTCTTTTTCTTTTTTGTCACATGCTGATTGGTTACATTTAAAAGTTAAACGAATGAATATGATACTTGTACGTAGCTATTACGTAATAACATGCTGCATTCATTCAATGCCAACTCTTGATTAGGTTTATTTATGTTCTTTCTTAACTAACTATAAATAAAACTAAAATTGTCGTAAGAAAACTTTAATGTATAACTGTATACTTCATCAACGCGTATTGCTCTCCAAAGTCAAGTTTGAACTTTGAAGCATGTCGACACAATACTTAGTCGAGTTTTGTGTATGATTTACTAGAGGGATTCGAAGAGAATTTGGGGAAAGACATCCACCGTTGATTGAATCGAAACCGAGCACAACCGTTGATTTTGATCCGGAACTTACTAATCTTAACTCTTCTTGTCATCTCCTTGCATCTTTGTTTCATCATTAGTTTGCCTTTTGGTACCTTCACAAACTCTTTTACGTATTTGCTGCATCTTCCGTTTTCTATACAATTTTATATACACAGAAAATTATTTTTTTAAAAAATATTGTTACAAAAACCTTATATTATAGAGAGGTAACAACCAAAAAGGATACCATTTTGAGCAGCTTCTTCCTCTAGGCTTGTGTTATTTAGCAGCTGCGTATATAATGAAAATTTACAAAAGTAAGTTAAGGTGTATGAGATGTGTATTAATTTTGTTGTAAGCTCGTATGTGTAATGTATAATTAACATACCTTAACTAAACTGTCCATTCTTTTTCTCATTCTTCTCTGTATGTATCCTCTCGAACACTAATTATATCCAATAAATAATGGTTGAGAATTTTTCAGGTACAAGAATACAAATACTATACAGTAGTTTTTTTCTTTCTGAAAAGAATTTACCACAAATGTACCTTTATATGATATTTTACGTATGCGTAAAAATTTAGCAAGTTCCAAACCGTTTTGTCTAATCTCTTTCCTTCAACGTGCCGTGAAGTAATATCTACCAATAAGAAGAATATATTTATTGTTTGACAAAAAAAAGTGATTAAAATTAGTGCAGATAATAATAGTAATTAAAGAACGTTGGACTAATTTAAGTAATAATTATAAACAGATGAAAAAGAAAAAACGAAATGTACCAAAAGATACAAAACCAGAGTTGGTGGTTAAGTCTTGGACCGGTTCACCTCTAAGTTGGAGAGGTGGTATTGGTGACCAACTACATTGAGGTGCCTTTCCCATTTCCTTTTGGCTTCCCACTTCCACTAGTTCCTTTTCAATGTTTTCAACAATTTTTTTTTTGACAAAATATATACAACATTAGTGTCTTACTTAATGCACATTTCTCCTATATGTACCCATTATGGAATTTTCTTTGGATCACAAATGTATATGATGTATCCATTGTAATTGTACCTGGAAGAATGACGTGGCGATGACCACATCCGAATTATCTTTAAAATTCATTGGAAACACCGCCGTAATTTTCTCTGGCTGAAAGAACCATTCGAGAAAATGTTGACTCTCATCATACAATTTAGTTTGGCGTAAGTCGTAACTCAAACAAATGACTAAAAATTTGGTAAGATAAATAATAACTCAAACCTGTTTAAAGACGTAGAAAGGTTCACTTGGGTGATAAACAATCCTGATGGGCCTTTTGTTGTTGTTCATCGCTCGTGAATCATCTTGAAAATTCAAATGTCTCAGCATCTCTTTAAGTTGGCTACTTAATATTAACGCTTGTATTTCAGAAATCCGTGTAATGGTTTTAATCGCTTCTTACAGTTGGAAAAAGAGTAAAAATTAATGATGAGAACTTATGTATAATTAAGAAATTATAAATTACAATATTACGAGCTTTAATTACCTTTGCCACGTGGAATATTATCAAGGTGAAGCTCAAGAGTTAATTGAAACCCTAATTTTGGTGGATCAACAATATCAATCACACCAACTGCAATATTCTTAACCACCTCATAAGTGTGACTTGAAATCTCCTTTAGTGTCACGTCTCCTTGCGTCTCAAGCAACGTTGACGTCGATACATGCACAATATTTGGATCCGAAACCGAGTACTGCACGTCCATATCATATATTTTATACATTGTGTCACAGTAGTATAATCAAATAAGCTAAGATCAATTATTATAAACAAATAATTAATATACCTTGATGTGATATTGAATCGAACCAAACTCGTGGAAATGTTGATCAACCTCTATAGGTTTCTCAGCACTGCCATGGATTTAAGGAAAATGAAACATTATTTTGCTTTATAGTGGATCTTTAATTACGGTACAGTTGACGTGGAGATTATAATTAATTAGTACTAAAATCTTACCGACAGAAACAAATCAAAATCATCTTATGTAAATTGAAGCCAAACCAGAAAAGAAGATTGTTAGCTACGGCTGTTACTAAAACGGGAAATGAAATTGGATAGGAGAATGAAAGAGAGAGCTAGTGGCGTAGTACGTACCGATATATCTTGAGGAGTGTTTCTTTCAACGTTGGAGATGCTCTTTCGAGATATGCCATTCTTGAAACTGCTCTCGGAAGACATTAACTTGACGCCACATTATTTATTTATAATTTCTAACCTTTCTTTGTCATCCTTGAGAGACTAATTAGTGCGGATATTGTCTTTTGTTTGTATGTGTGTGTTTGGTGAATTATTGGAGGTTGAGTAAAATATTAATTCGCAATCATGTTTATCTTCTTTCCAAGCAAGACATTTAGCTATTATACCAGCCGTTGAAATCCAACATTGTGGTATGTGGATGTACCTGTGACTCTCTCTGAGCCCAATCTAAACATAGGCCTCGTTGATAAAGAGTTGTAACGGTATCTCAGCCGTTGGATAAAAGCTGTGGGAGTTGATGGACGTCGATTCACATGGTCGTATAGTGGCAAAGAAGGAATCTGATGTTTTTCTTTATAGGGATTGGAAAACGGAATCTAACAAATAGCTAAAATGAGTTTTTTTTTTCCCTGTGAAAAATTACATCTTCAATAATGAAACCATGGAAATTTTTTACTATATGGTAACAAGATTCATATATTATCCCACTGATCTTTATTTCGTGAGTTATAATAGAATATGTGTTTTTGCAACCTAAAAGTCAAAATTATACTGTTAAAATCAATGATGGAATTTATCTGCTTCTTCTTATGTGGACCTTTTATATCATTAAAAAAGCAAAACTTGAAATGTAATCCAAGCTAAATCCAATGAAAATTTAGCGTCGGTTTCACACGAACCACAAGCTTTTGACTTCACCAACATACATAACCCCACGCATTATCACCATTAATTCTTCTTTATTCTCGGTATGGTTTAGGCGTAAGAGAATGGTCACTGTAGAGCTACCATATGCATAAGAAAAAAAAATTAGTATAATGTCTCCGCTAATCTATATATCTTTGAAAAAAAAAAAAAAATCTATATATCTTTGTTACGATGACCATAAATATTGAAATTGATTTTGATAATACAACTCGTAAGACAACCCATTGAACTCTTACCTCCGACTCTTTTTTTTTCTTGTAATTTAAAACAGATTAATTAATCATAGTCTCTTAAAAGTATACATATGCTACGATAGTAACACGTCTATTCAATTTGTTTTATAATAATTACTACAATATAGGTATATTCTGAATTTGTCAACATATACGAAAAATTCAAAGCGTATTAAATTAAATCACATAAGAAGTTCAACAAGTAATTAAAATATTGAAAATTTGCTAATTAAAAATGTTTAGTCAACGACAACCAAGTGTAATGAACTCATAACGAGATTACCTACCGTGCGCCAAACAAACGCAAAAAGCTTAATCTCAATCTACAAAAATAAATATCTAACGTTAAATCTTAACCGTTAATTACTATTTAACGAAATTTTCTTTTCATTTTCTCGGCGCACCCAATCACAACTCAGCTGAGAGAAACGCGTCTTTCAGATTTCAATCCTTCACTTTCCCTTTCTGTTTTTTTTTTTTTTTTCCCTTTTCTCGTTGTCGGATCGGGAAGAAAAAAAACTGGGAATTTCGAGGTTTCCTGGATTGTTGGATTGGATTTTTGTTTGAATTCGATATGGGTATTGGGTGTTGATATCAAAGTTTCGATTTTTATTTTCTTTTCCTGAGAAAATCCGAGATTTTTTTTTCCGGTTCGTCAATCCGAGAGGAAAATAAAAACGTTGAAATTTACTACGTAAGTTGAAGCTTTCTCATTTCCAGTTTTATGATTTTAGTTTCGGATCTCGAATCCAAGCGTTGACTTCTTTGGATTTGGTGATTAGGGTTTGTTTTGATTCATATTTGCATTCTGTCTTTTTTTTTTGTAACAGGATCAAGCTCAAACCTTTTGAATTAGTTATTTGATTGTGGGATCCAGAGTTTTGGAGCGAAATTGAGGTCAATGGTTAGGGTTTATGAATGATTCAGGTTGATTGGTATTTGAGGTGAATTAAGGAAACTAAGATCTCTATCTATCTTCCCCATTTTGTTACAACTTGGGGTCTAGTTTCCATAGATTGGTGTTTTTAAGATTTGCTATGGATACGGTTCGTGGAGAGGGTAAAGAAGCTAATGGGTGTGAGAATAAGGCTATTGTTAGTCTAGATAACAGTCAAATTGATGATCAGATTTCTGAGGAAGACGAAAGTAGCGAGTCACAATGTTTATTGCCTCCGAGGAAAGGAGGGATGTCGAGAAGCACTGACAAGATTAAGAGGACTGTGCAGTGGAATGACAACAAAGGAGACAATCTTGCTGAGGTTTTAGTTTATGAACCAAGGTATTATGATCCCTTAGAAACAAAATCTCTGTTGATTGTTTTGTTATCTCAAGTTTTTTTTTCACATAGTTGTGAACTCATTGGTATTCTGTTCTCGCTTATTTGGTCTAGGTTTGGTGCTTAGATGTTAACCATATCCCAAATGCAGGATCTGTGTTGTAAACCTAAGGAGTGCTTCTTTATTTTTGACTGGTGGCTTTTTTGTTTAGGGATAGTTTCATTTGAAAAGTGCTTATAGTTGCTTAAGTCGTTTCTCATTATTTGTCAGCAGTGAACTGGAACTCGTTTAGCTGAGTATTGTTATTGATGAGCCTATGAGAGACAGTTAGGGTAGCTGGGTGCAAATATCTTTAGCGTCTGTGCACCTATCAGTGGTAACAGTTTAGTGCACGTACCGATAGTCGAAACGAAGCTGTAAGCCAGTGACTCACTTCAATTTGGGGATTGTGGGATCTGAATATAGGCAAAGAACCCTGAAGATAATGTACTTACTATACCCTTTTCGTTTGACTGGTCTAGAAACGTTAATGTATACCATTGGAAAAGCTTGCAGGATTCAGATTATTGTTGCATCTTTTTTGATGTTCCATATTGGTAGTCCCGCCTCAATTATAACTCCAATAGAGTAGTTATCTTCTGTTTAAGAGCTCACGCTCTTACATTGTTGTTTGTTGGCAATTGAAAACAACTATATAACTTATTCTGTCTCCATTATTTTGCTTGCAGCGAAGTTAGCGATACAGATGATGATGATTCAGATTCCTGCATCTGCACAATTATGTAGTCCTCAAATCCACTATCAACCACCATTTAACATGGAGTTAACACTGAGCTCGTCCTTGTATCTGACTTCTCTTCAGAAATCATTTTTGTGAGGAAAGAGGAACCAACTTAAGCGAGTGATATCACAATCATGTAACTGTCTGATTAATGTGCTCAGGACTTCTGACAAGAAGCCAGACGAGACAAGGAATATAGACTCATAAGCTATATCGGATCGTCTCATCTCAGTGAAGGGAGTGCGAGTATATAATAGATTATTTACTGCTCTATTGTTCAATAGAGGCTGATCTTTAAGTCGAAGATCTTTGAGTGCTGTTTGATTTGACAGGTTTTGATAGTAAACTATGTATGTCTTTCTGCAACATACACGCTTGTTAAGTTGTAAGTATATGCAGCAATTTAATATTGTTTCTTCTTCTAGTAGTTGTTCTCCTCGCCATATTATAAGCAGATGCAAAAACTTTGAAAGGTCACAACTTTTTTAAGATATAGTTGCAGAAACAACCAGTGGGAAAAATAAACCCGAAAATGGGAAACTGATGCAAACCTTTATCCATACACACAAAAAGAATCACAAATGAAATGCTACAAAGACAAACAACAAAACACACTTTTTCAATTCTTCTTCTGAATCACTATGAAAGCTTCACCTGTTCTCCATGTTGGTAATATCCACAATTGGGGATCTCTTCAACGAACCATTCCCATGAAAACTCTTCGGTGAGGCTATCCAATTGGAAAGACTAGTATTGACGATTATCTCCTTGAGTAGAGGCTTTGCTTGGTCATCCATATCCGCTTCAAGATTCTCTTTCATTTCTCGTTTATGTTTCACAGGCCTAGCTTTAACCGCTTTCCACTGAGCAAGATTCTCCACTGGATTCAAAAGAGGAGTCACGTCCTGGTCTTTGTCTTCTTCTTCTTCTTCTTCGTCTTCATCATCAGCATCATCTTCATAGTCGTTTTCATCATCTGTGTAATAGTCTTCATCCTCCAAATCACTCTCTCCATAACCCACTTCATCGTCTTCATCCTCAAAACTAGTCACGCAATTGTGGTACCTATAGTTTGAAGGATACACTGATGTACTGCTTAGATCCTCTGGTTTCTTATCGGTAACTGAGGATCCCTTGCTTCTTTCTCCATTTCCTTCCTCACTATCACTGCAGTCATTCTCAAATCTTGGTGGCACAATAGGTTCATAGGTTTGTACATTCAAGTCAAATCTGACTCTCTTCCTCGTCTTCTTAGTCACCTTCTTGTTCTCCTCCTCCGCTTCACCCCTGACACAACAGACATAAAACAGCCATTTTAATTGGTAACTTCTGCTGGGTTTCATTTTGGCTTTTTTTTCATAACCGGTTATCAGATTGGTGATCTCAGATCAAACAAAAAAAGTTTCAGTCTTTAAGTAAATCCAAAGTCTTAAAAGAACATTGTAAATGGAAGAAACAATGACCTGAGGTTTGAATCTACAAAAGTAGTGAAATCTGACGGATCTGAAGAATGTAGTAGAGGCTCGTAGCTACAGATTCTCTGCAAGAAAAAAGTCAGGGTTTGAAATCAGAGTAATGAAAAGTCAGGGTTCAAATGAAACAAGAGAGAGTAGTGCTCTTTTACTTATTAGGGAGAAGAAGAAGAAGAAGAAAAGAAGCTTACTTGATCTCGAGGAAGGATCTTCCTGATGGAGTTTCTGCGTTTTTTGTTGGAAGAGAGACCGAAACAACCCATAAAACATCCCATTTTTGTTTATTTGGTGATGTTTCTGTGTTTCGGGTTTGATTCTTGAGAGTAGGGAAGAAGAAGAAGAGAGATGATGGATGCTTTTAGTTAATTACTTTTTTGCCTCGTTGGTGTCTTTGAAATGGAAATAGGAACGTTGGGATTTCAAACGGATGAATGTGACGGTGGGCTCACGGAGTTTATGCCGTCGTTTTTACTTTTTATTTTCTTCTTTTAAGAAGAAAAGACAAAAATATCAAAATGCAAATTATTGGATTCCTCTTTTTCTCAATAATTTTTTTTTTAGAATATGGATAAAATGAATGAATTAATTCGAAACGTTATACTGTTTTTAAATACTGTAATATCAATTATAAGTTAAGAAAACATTATTTTGTTTTTTTAATTCAAAATTTCAAAAATCCACACTCAAGATGTTATGTTGGGGACCTTGCGGCCCGTTTAAAGCAAATTTCGAAGTAAATAATTGATATTGAGTTTTTGACTTAAGACAAAGCGTGTTCGGACTACGTTTTAGTGCCTCTTTGTGTTCAACGTTAATGCACTCTACAGTAATGCTGTCTAAATTTAATCAGATGACATTAAGGTTATTAAAAATACCGTGTGGCAAATAAATCTACTGGTATATATAATTGTTATAAATTTATGATTATATCAAACAAACTTAAAAAGCTAACTCTGATTTTATATTAAAATAATTATGAGGCCATAACAAGTTTTATTATTTATGAAATGTTTGGAACTTTCAAAGCAAATGTATGAACATCTTTGTAGTTTGTAATCGGTCCCAAACTCCCAATGAACTCCATTCTATAAAAGAATCTCTGATTTTTTTCTTTTCTTGTTCTACATATGTCTATTTCTTTTATAATTGTTTTCTCTAAAATCTCAATAATGAAATGGTAAATAACTTTCGTAAATTAAAAAATTCTTAAGGAAAGAAAATATCACATATGAGAATTTGGAAACAAAGTTCAAAATTGGAGTAAAGTAATGATTTGATAACCACAATATTAAGATTTTTTTTCCCAATCATTAAATTTTTTTATATATAATGATAGCAACAATGTTTGAGTATAAAAAACACAAAATTTATTCACTAAATCGAATCTTCAAAATGACTTCCAACTTCCAATATTATTGCTTAAATGTCTATCTCTTTTACACTTGCAAACTTTTTTCCCATATTAACGATAGTAATAATAAATTTCTTAACTTTTTTGAATCTCAAAATGGAACTATTACATTTTTTTAAAATGTCAAAAGAATAAAAATGATAAACGAAGTTAATATTGAAAAGTCTACTCTTTTTTTTTTTTTAAGTCGATCTCTTTCACTCACTTTAACCCCATTGGCCGCTCTATTTTCCAAAGTCTGTTTTTATTTTTTATCCTCTCTCCTCTCTTCTCTCTCTCTCTTTCACCCAATTTCACAAACCCGAAACCCTAATTTTCTCGGGACACTGAAATTTTTTACAGCTTATTTCCTCTTCTTCACCGGGGAGATTTGTCGGTGTCGAATCTAGGGTTTTTGGGTATTAACGGAGGGGTTTTAAGAGAGGAAAAGCCTCGCAATGGAATCAGATCAGGGAAAGCTCTTTATCGGCGGGATTTCATGGGATACCGACGAGAATCTTCTGCGAGAGTACTTCAGCAATTTCGGTGAGGTTTTGCAGGTCACTGTCATGCGGGAGAAAGCTACTGGTCGTCCTAGAGGTTTCGGATTCGTCGCATTTTCGGATCCTGCTGTTATTGATAGGGTTCTTCAGGACAAGCACCATATTGATAATAGAGATGTAAGCTTAATTTTTTTGTTTCTGAAATGGGTTTCTCAAATTTTCAATCTTTTTGTAATTGCCACTCTTCTTCTGATTCATTTGTCTGTAAAAATCGATGCTTTGGATATTGGTGTTGTCGAGGTTTTGTTATTGATATGTTTTGATGGATTTTAAGCTGTGTTACGTATTTAGGTTGATGTGAAGAGAGCAATGTCTAGAGAAGAGCAGAGTCCTGCTGGGAGGTCAGGGAATTTTAATGCTTCTAGGAATTTTGATAGCGGAGCTAACGTTCGTACTAAGAAGATATTCGTAGGAGGTTTGCCTCCCGCATTAACATCAGATGAATTTCGGGCTTACTTTGAAACTTACGGACCTGTGAGTGATGCAGTCATTATGATTGACCAGACTACGCAACGTCCTAGAGGATTTGGGTTTGTTTCTTTTGATTCAGAAGATTCGGTTGACCTTGTTTTGCATAAGACTTTCCACGATTTGAATGGTAAACAAGTAGAAGTTAAACGTGCTCTTCCTAAAGATGCTAACCCTGGAGTAGCCAGCGGTGGTGGTCGTGGCAGTGCTGGAGCTGGAGGGTTTCCGGTCTATGGTGGTTCTGGTGGAAGTGGCTATGAGGGTCGTGTGGATTCCAATAGATACATGCAGCCTCAGAACGCTGGAAGTGGTTATCCCCCTTATGGTGCTTCTGGATATGGTACTGGTTATGGTTACGGGAGCAATGGCGTAGGTTATGGAGGATTTAGTGGGTATGGTAATCCAGCTGGTGCGCCTTATGGGAATCCTGGAGTCCCGGGAGCTGGGTTTGGAAGTGGTCCAAGAAGTTCATGGGGAGCTCAAGCACCATCCGGTTATGGTAATGTGGGTTATGGGAATGCAGCTCCGTGGGGTGCATCTGGTCCTGGTTCAGCAGTGATGGGTCAAGCTGGTGCATCTGCTGGTTATGGCAGTCAAGGTTATGGTTATGCTGGAAATGATTCCTCTTATGGGACTCCATCAGCCTATGGTGCAGTAGGTGGGCGATCTGGAAATATGCCTAACAGCCATGGCGCTGGAGGCTATGCGGATGCTACAGATGGCTCTGGAGGTTATGGGCATCACCAAGGGAACAACGGGCAAGCTGGCTATGGTGGAGGTTATGGAAATGGTAGGCAAGCTCAACAACAGTGATTGAAGAAGACAGACTACTACAATGTCGTTTTATCACTGACCTTGAAACTTCCTCTTTCCGCCTTAATGATGTCACATCTGGGGCGGTTAGACCAGGAGGTTGACCTACGCTGGATTATCTCTTTTGTTAGTTTCTCAATAAGTTGTTTTCAGGCAATTCCGGATACTACTAGTATTTCCTATGAAGTTGTAGTTTTTAAGTTTGCGTGCTTATTTATATTTGTCGCTTTGGAATGGTTTTCTTTCTCTATCCTCCTAGTGTTTGTGTTTAACGATGCATCCTCCAGATTATCATTATTCACCTTCCTTTGGTTCATTCATTTTTTGAATATTCCATTCTATATTCGTTGCTTTTGCATCGCCTCTTGTTTAGTCGAAAATTATTTGCTCGGTGTTCAATTTGATCTAAGAAAGGTGTTAGGTAGACAAGAGCTGTAACTAACCACTTCACTGTCTGCACTTGCGTTGTTACGTGAAAGGCGTGTTGGCCAGTAAAGGAAACTTGACAGTCCCCAAGATCTTATATTGTATTTTATTGGTCTGTTTGGTCGCTGTTCAAAGTTCCATGAGAAGTAAAAGATCCTGGGATGACCATTGATGTTTCAAATCCAAGCTACTTCTTCTTTTGCATGTCTGCGAATCCTCGTCTCTTGCATTCTTGTTCACAAGAATTTATCTTCTCTGATTCATTACAATTTTACAAGTCCTGCACTCCTGCTGTTTGGTAGGAGATAGCTGGGCATGTGACTTGCATTCTTGCAATATTATTTACTGAGTTATGAAAATATTGCTGGTCTAGTTGTGGCCAATATAACATTTTTGACATGTGAGAAAAACAATATACATTATACAGTGTAGTAGCTTTTCCTAGTCATCTATGTTTTGAATGTCACTCACTCAGTGAAACCACCTTTTTATTGAGTTTGTAATATTAGATTTAGTGATCATTTTCGAGTCGACAAAAAAAAGTATAAAACTAGCTGATCTATTGTTTTTTTTTTTTTTTGGTGGCTTTCATGATCTCAAGACGGATACAGGAAATTACCAGTTAAAAAGTTGTCTTTTTGTCCTTATTATTTATTTACAAGAATTAAAGGTTGTGGTCGTATAGAAAAAAACAAATAAAAGAAGATTTAGTAGCATCTAATATATAAAGAAATACTAACAAAAAAAATGGTAAACATTGCGCTGGCAACTGTTTAGTACATGTAATATGATTTTACAGATGAGATTTGGATGGACAAAAGTTTACTAAAAATAGGAAATTTGCTAAATCTAGTAAATATAATATTTGTGAGTTATCCTAATTTTACTCGCATCCTCTCTGATTTCTCAATACAGAAAAATTTGCTGTCGATTACCTTTTTCCAACTTGTCGCCTTCCTCCTCAGTTTCTCTTGTTTCTTATTTTTACGGTTTTGCCTTATAATAACACACAAGAAATGTCTTTTCCTTTCCTCTTTCCTCTCTCATTGAGTAATCTAATTTCATAAAATCCCGTAACGTTTTCCCTACCACCCTCTCCCCCTCCTCCGCCATGACCCATCATCACCGGCGAGAGTCCTTCTCCGTAACCACCTCTAACATGGGAGGCTCCGCGGTGCTTTGTCCTAATACCGACCTTCTTTGGCCATTTGGCAAGCTTGAAGGGCTTGATCGAGATGATATTCGTGAGACGGCTTATGAGATCTTCTTCACGGCTTGCCGATCATCACCGGGGTTTGGAGGCAGGACTGCTCTCACGTTTTACTCTAACCATAACAGCAACGACCATCATGGAGACGGAGGAGGAGGAGGTATAGGATCCGGTGGTGGCTCACCTGGTGCTGGCTCTGGGTTCGGGTTTGGGTCTTCAGGGAGGAAAGAGGTGGTCACGACCCCGACTAGCAGGGTCAAACGGGCTTTAGGCTTAAAGATGCTTAAACGGTCTCCCTCTAGGCGAATGTCAACGATAGGGGCCGCTGGAGGAGCTGGAACTTCTCTATCCCCTGGTGGCGGGATGAATAGTAGTTCGGGACATATTAGTCCTGGAGCCGGGTTCTTAACTGTCCCACCTTCTCGGCCTAGAAGACCCTTGACCTCGGCTGAGATCATGAGGCAACAAATGAAGGTGACAGAACAAAGTGACAGTCGGCTTCGAAAAACCCTGTTGAGAACGCTTGTTGGCCAAGTAAGTTAACCTTTGCTTCCTTCTTCTACAAGTTAATGTAAACTTTGAAATGCCTTAACACAATACCTTCAATGTTTGTTTCTCTTAATCTATAGACGGGTAGACGAGCAGAGACCATAATCTTACCGTTAGAGCTTCTCAGACACTTGAAAACATCAGAGTTTGGTGATGTACACGAGTACCAACTCTGGCAAAGACGACAACTCAAAGTCCTTGAAGCTGGTCTTCTTCTTCATCCATCGATTCCTCTAGACAAAACCAACAACTATGCAATGCGTCTAAGAGAAATTGTCAGACAAAGCGAGACAAAACCCATTGACACAAGCAAAACCTCAGACACAATGAGAACACTCACCAACGTCGTCGTATCTTTATCTTGGCGTGGCACTAACGGAAATCCAACTGATGTTTGTCACTGGGCTGACGGTTACCCTCTCAACATTCATCTTTATGTTGCTTTGTTGCAGTCAATATTTGATGTCAGAGACGAGACATTGGTGCTTGATGAGATCGATGAGCTTCTTGAGCTAATGAAGAAAACTTGGTCAACACTAGGGATCACACGACCGATACATAATCTGTGTTTCACTTGGGTTTTATTTCATCAGTACGTCGCGACTTCACAAATTGAACCGGACTTGCTTGGCGCTTCTCATGCTATGTTGGCTGAAGTTGCAAATGACGCCAAGAAGCTTGACCGAGAAGCCCTCTATGTGAAACTATTAAACTCGACATTGGCCTCTATGCAGGGATGGACCGAGAAAAGGTATTGAATTATTCTTGTTAAGCCAAAAAAAACACATATAGTTTACAAAATGTTTTAATTAAAATGTGATTGTGGGTTTTTAGGTTATTGAGCTACCATGATTATTTCCAAAGAGGGAATGTGGGATTAATAGAAAATCTTCTACCATTGGCATTATCATCATCGAGGATCTTGGGAGAAGATGTGACGATTTCTCAAGGGAAAGGACAAGAGAAAGGTGATGTGAAATTAGTGGATTATTCAGGAGATCGCGTTGATTATTACATAAGATCGTCCATTAAAAACGCATTTTCTAAGGTAAAATTAAAAATCTATATTTGTGTGTTTATATCATCTCTGTGTTTTAGGGTTCTGAATATTTTTCTTGCAGGTGATAGAAAACACGAAAGCTAAAATCGCAGCTACAGATGAAGGAGAAGAAGCTGCTGGAACGTTGTTGCAACTAGCTAAGGAAACAGAGGAGCTAGCGTTAAGGGAACGTGAATGTTTCAGCCCAATACTCAAGAGATGGCACTCTGTTGCTGCTGGTGTTGCCTCAGTGTCACTTCACCAATGTTATGGCTCAATCTTGATGCAATATTTAGCTGGAAGATCGTTTATCTCGAGAGATACTGTTGAAGTTTTGCAAACGGCAGGGAAGCTCGAGAAGGTCCTGGTGCAGATGGTGGCTGAAGATTCAGAAGAATGCGATGACGGTGGTAAAGGACTTGTACGAGAGATGGTTCCATATGAAGTTGATTCAATTATACTGCGCCTTTTGAGACAATGGATAGAAGAGAAGCTCAAGAGAGTTCAAGAGTGTTTATTTAGAGCAAAAGAAACTGAAGTAAGTTTCAGAGATTTTACTTGTATTCCAAGAAACATTACTTTATCTTATGTTTGTTTTCTTTCTTTGTAGACGTGGAACCCGAAATCCAAATCAGAACCTTACGCTCAATCTGCGGGAGAGCTGATGAAGCTAGCCAAAGACACTATCGATGAGTTCTTTGAAATACCTATTGGGATTACAGAAGATCTAGTTCAAGATATCGCGGAAGGATTGGAACAACTCTTTCAAGAATACACCACATTTGTTGCATCTTGCGGTAAGTAAACAAATCGAATTCCTTAAACCACAAGAATCGAATTTGTTATATCTAATTCTTGAATATTTCAGGATCAAGACAAAGTTACATTCCTACATTACCTCCTCTTACAAGATGTAACCGAGATTCAAGATTCGTTAAACTATGGAAGAGAGCTACACCGTGTACTACCCCCAACGAGGATTTCAGCCACACCGCATCAGTGATTTCCGACGGCCACCATCCACGACCGTCCACAAGCCGGGGGACTCAACGTCTATACATTCGTCTCAACACATTACATTTCCTAAGCTCTCATATCCACTCGTTAAACAAAACACTCTCTTTAAACCCGAGGGTACTTCCCGCAACTCGAAAACGTTACCGCCATCGAAACAACAATTCATCTTCCTATTTCGACTTCACATACGCTGGAATCGAATCAGCTTGCCAACACGTTTCAGAAGTCGCGGCTTACCGTTTGATTTTCCTCGATTCAAACTCTGTTTTCTACGAGAGTCTTTACGTAGGAGAAGTGGCGAACGCGAGGATCAAACCAGCGTTACGTATCATGAAACAGAACTTAACATTGATGTCAGCGATTCTTGCGGATCGAGCTCAATCACTAGCAATGAGGGAGGTAATGAAATCATCCTTCGAAGCGTTCTTGATGGTCCTTCTCGCCGGTGGATACTCCCGAGTGTTCTATAGATCGGATCACAGTTTTATCGAAGAAGATTTCGAGAGCTTGAAAAGAGTATTTTGCACTTGCGGTGAAGGGTTGATACCTGAAGAAGTGGTGGACAGAGAGGCAGAGACAGTGGAAGGAGTGATTCAGCTAATGAGTCAACCAACAGAGCAACTTATGGAAGATTTTAGCATCGTAACTTGCGAAACAAGTGGAATGGGGATGGTTGGATCCGGACAAAAGCTACCGATGCCTCCAACTACTGGACGTTGGAACCGGTCTGATCCGAACACGATCTTGAGGGTTCTTTGTCATAGAAACGATCGTGTCGCTAATCAGTTCTTGAAAAAATCGTTCCAATTGGCTAAACGAAGGTGAATTGGAAAGAAATGAAGAAAACAAACACAAAAAAAAAGAATTCAACTAAAAAGGAATGTTTATGTTGGTGAGAGATTCGTTGTTGTAAATGTCATTAAGTATGATTTTCGAGTTTTGGAACTGATTTGTGATTTAAAAAAAAATATTTCTCTTTTTGTTGCATTCGGGGTTGAAGCTGATTGTTTGTTGTTAACGAAGAAAAATATTCGTTGATTTTTTTATTAGATGTATTCATAAATGTAGAAGTCTTATTTGTTTTAAGAAAAAACAAGTTTTATGGGCCTTTAGCCCAATTATGCGAAGCTCATTTGTCAATCTCAATATAGTTTCGAAGATAGAAAGCTCAGTCAAAACCAAAACCAAAACCCTATCCACTTTACTCTAAACCTCCAGTAGCTTCGTCTTTCTTCTTCAGTCGCCCTACAATGGCCTTGCCTTTGTCTGGCACGCGCCACCTGACGTGCGCTCTCCTCTCCAATGCCACCGTAATGGCTCCTCCTCGGATCCCTTCCTCTGTTCACTGCGGTGGATCTCGGTTAAGTTGCTCGACGCGGTTCTTCTCAATCCGATGCGCAGCTAACCGGTCAGGCTCTGCTTACTCGCCGCTTAACTCTGGCTCTAACTTTAGTGATCGGCCTCCGACGGAGATGGCTCCTTTGTTTCCTGGATGCGATTATGAGCACTGGCTTATTGTTATGGATAAACCTGGCGGCGAAGGTGCCACTAAGCAGCAGATGATTGATTGTTACATTCAAACCTTAGCTAAAGTCGTCGGAAGGTATAAATTTTACTGATTACGTGTCTTATTTGTCTTGGTTGCTGGTGAATGAATGAAAAGATCTAGGGTATTAAGCTCTGATTGCTTTGGTGATTCGGTTTTAGGAGTTATTGGATAGTTAATTCTATGTTTTTGTTTTGGTAGTGAGGAAGAGGCGAAGAAGAAGATCTACAATGTTTCGTGTGAGAGGTATTTAGGTTTTGGCTGTGAGATTGATGAAGAGACGTCGACTAAGCTTGAAGGTCTTTACTCCATACACTTGTCTCTTATGTTGGCTAGTGTTTACAGATACTAAAGAGTGTTCTAAAGTAGTAATTTGTTTACGACAGGTTTACCCGGTGTTCTGTTTGTGCTTCCAGATTCCTATGTTGATCCTGAAAACAAAGATTATGGAGGTAGTTTTCTTTCTTATTTTCTCAAAATGGAAGTCTTTGCTAGTGCCTTGAGTCTCTGTGCGTGTATCTCTTGAAGCATGAAACAAAAGATTTGATTAGTCCATCTTGGCAAAGCTAATGAGTCTTTTGGCTATGATTAGCTTTGAATGCTAATGGACTGACATCATATATTTTCTCTTAGCCTATATGCGCAGATAGTTAATTATATATCTAACTGCAGGCTGGTTTAGACGAAAACATATTTTGCATGTAACTCTCGAGTGCTTTTCTCTTGGAAACTAGAATACAATGTTATTGATTATCAGTCCATCTTGGCGAAGCTAATGAGTCTTTGGGCTATGATTAGCTTTGAATGCTAATGGACTGACATCAAATATTTTTGTCTTAGCCGAATTTTGCAGATAGTTAATATAATATCTACCTGCATGCCGGTGTAGATAAAACATACATTGCAATTCTTGAGTGTCTCTTGCTTCAGTTACTCCATCTTGGTAACCTGGTGAAAATATTTTTCTGCTTTCCGCACTGAATTAATGATATGCAGTCTGGTCGAGATGATGAATATATAGTCACTAAGTGACACCCCCTAACCGTAGAAAAAATAGCTCATAGTCCATCTTCGTAAAGTTAAATAGCTCATAGTCCATCTTCGTAAAGTTAAATAAATTTTGTTGGCAATGATTAGCTTTGAATGCGAATAGAATTATATCTTACTCTTCTCTTGGTCTGTATGTGTGGATTTAGAATAGCAACATGATTACCTTGGTTGAGATGAAGCATAGATCTATAATTCGGTATAGAGATGATTGGAGAACTAAAGTATAGAATAATTTGTATACTCTTGGACCAGAAGTCCATCTTGGCAAAGCTAGTAGCTTTCAGCCATTTCTAGTTTTGAATGCTAATGGAGTGACATCCAGATTCTCTCTTTCTCGTGGTGTGCTTTTATTATGTCGAAGAATAGACTCAATCATGAGAGACGCACCAGCTTTTCTATATCTTGAATTAAATATAAAATGCTGAAGGACACTCACAGTTATCTTGAATTTTGATTTGTATGCTCTTAATTGGTATTGTTGACTTGCAGCTGAGTTGTTTGTTAATGGAGAGGTTGTCCAACGATCACCAGAGAGGCAGAGGCGGGTTGAGCCACAGCCGCAGAGAGCCCAAGATAGACCGAGATACAATGACAGAACTCGATACTCCCGCCGCAGAGAAAACACAAGATAAACTGTAACTGAAGAAGGTATACACATACACCGAATCAAATCAAAGAATAGCCAGTATGATGATGATGATGATGATAATGGTGGTGGTGATAGAAGTTTGCTGCTGCCACGAGAGGGCTCCGTATTCCAGGCCTTTGCAGTTTATGGACCTACTTTGGATATTGTTGAAGTGCTAAGTTTTGATTCTATGTAACATTTTCATATAATAATGTAAATTGAGGTTTCACTGTTTTAGGAGAATTGTGTACTGATATCAAAAATTAGTTTTGTTTTGAAGAACAAATGCTGTTTTGTCCTTAAATTTTTACCCATTAACGTGGCAAATGGTGACTTAATTTTCCTTATCAATGCAAAGAAACGATTACTCTTGTGACATTACGTGGGAAAAAATAATATATTCTACTTTTTATTACTTTCGGTTATAAAAGAACAAGATTAAAATAAAAGGGCGATCTGATTATTTCTCCAGTAAATAAGGGGAAAATGAAAAGTAACCAAGTTGATTTTAAAATCCAGCGGACAAAATCTTCTGTGAGGTTTTTTTTTTTTATAATCAATCGCCCCCGAAAAAAAAAAAGTCGACGAAACTGTATATCGGAGCGGAGGCGCTAGTTTTTGCCGTCGGCGAGGCAATTTCCTTTGCCGGAGGTGCGACGCTTCTCCTCCGCTTTTATTTATTTATTTATATTTCTGTACTTGTTATTTCGTCTTTCATGTTAAGCTTGCTTGTGCCTTCTTTGGGTGTATATAGCTGGATTGGTCGCGAAAGAATCACGATTGTTTCTCCATTTTGATGTGTACTTAGGGTTTGTATGAGCTTATGATTGCTGAACTTGCTAGTAATTGAATGTCTGTGTGGTTAGTTGGCGTGAAACTGGGTTGTGGGGATTTTTCTACTTTGCGCCGTCGTGTTCTTTAGGTCGTAGATTACTACTCTTGCGATTAGATTCAATTGGATCATAGTTCTAATTTATTCATTCACTTTGAAGTTTCTAGCCAACCTGTTAGGAAATGGTGTTGGTTTTTAGAGGCGCAACCATAGTTTCAAGTTGGATCAGTTAGGAACAAGCTATTTTGGTGGTTTGCAACTTGTTAAATGTGATTGAAGATCTTTGAAATGTTAGGAAACTCTAATACTTTATTATGTTAGTACATTGGTAGGTTGCTGTTTCTTTGTATTCCGCTCCATGTATCTAGTAATTTTGAAGTTTCTGGTTAATGATATCTATGTTGCAAAGATGCGAGGGAATGGAAATTGTGAATTTAAATCCTGATTTCAGCTTTGCATTTCCTTATACCTTTTTTATGTTATGATATCTGTCTGGTGATGATTGTGCTCTCTGCTCATTATCTCAAAGGAATAATATAATCTGCCTTTTCTTCTTGAGCAAACAGGATGGACGAAGTAGACAAGCAACTGGAAAATCTGGTAAACGAAGGATCTGCTGCTCGAACAAGACCTACAAGCGTTGAGGAGATTAGGCTTAGGAGGAAGAGGAAAGTGTCCTTGGAAAATGTAAAGGAGGAAACCGTTGCAGCAGATCAGTTACTGGGTAACGATCTTGTTGATAAGGCTGCTGAAAATCTTGACTCTGAAAAAGGGCGTGATAGATCCAAGAAGTTGAGGTGTGAAGAGCATGTCAAGGACGGTTCAAAAAAGAACGAAGACTCAATTTCTAGTACTAGAGAAGAAAAACTAGAAAAACAGATGAAAGAGGACCCTGTGGGAACAGCTCAGTTACCCAGTAAAGATCTTGTTGAAAAGGTTCCTGACTGTCATGAGTCTGAAAAAGGGTATGATAGATCCGTGAAACTGAGGCATGAAGAGCTTGTTATGGACAGTTCAAGAAAGAAAGAAGAGGCTAGTTCTAGCTCTAGAGAAGAAAGACTAGATATACCAATGGAAGATGATCCTGGTGGAGCAGCTCAGTTACTGAATAACTATCTTGTTGAGAACGTTTCTGACTATCATGCGTCTGAAAAAGGGTATGATAGATCCAAGAAAGTGAGGCGTGACGAACATGTTAAGAACAGCTCAATCAAGAAAGAGGACATGATTTCTAGTTCTAGGGAAGAAAAACCAGTGAAAGAGGATCATGTGGGAGCAGCTCAGTTACTGGTTAATGATATTGTTGAGAAAGTTTCTGACTACCATGCGTCTGAAAAAGGCCATGATAGATCCAAGAAAGTGAGGCGTGAAGTACGAGTTAAGGACAGTTCAAGAAAGAAAGAAGACGCCACTTCAAGTTCGAGGGAAGAAAAATCGGTGAAAGAGGATCATGTGGGAGCAGCTCAGTTACTGGGTAATGATGCTGTTGAGAAGGTTTCTGACTATCATGTGTCTGAACGAGGGTATGATAGATCGAAGAAATTGAGGCGTGACGAACGTGTTAAGGACAACTCAAGCAAGAAAGAAGACGCCACTTCGAGGTCGAGAGAAGAAAGAGTAATAAAATCAATAAAAGAGGACCCTGTTAAAGCAACTCAATTACTAGGTAACGATCTTGTTGAGAAAGTTTCCGACTCTCATGCGTCTGAAAAAGGGCATGACAGATCCAAGAAAGTGAGGCGTGAAGAACATGTTAAGGACAGTTCAAGAAAGAAAAATGACGGTATTATTAATTCGAGAGAAGAAAAAACGATGAAAGAGGATTGTGTGGAAGCAGCTCAGTTACTGGGTAATGATCTTGGTGAGATACTTTCTGCAAAAGGGTATGATAAATCCGAGGAATTGAGGCGTGAAGAGCGTGTTAAGTACAGTTCAAGAAAGAAGGAAGAGGCTGTTTCTAGTTCTAGAGAAGAAAAACTAGATAAACCAAAAAAAGACGAGCCTGCTTCAAATAGAAAAAGGAAGGCAGAAGGAGAGAGGTCTGCTTTTGAAACAAAATTAATGGAAGAGCATAGTAAGGATAGACGAGGAAAGAAAGAAGAAAGTAATTCTAGTTGTAGGGAGGAAAGACGAGATAAAAAGATGAAGAAGGAAAATCTAGCTGCAAACAGAAAAATAGAAGGTGAAATTCCTACAAGTGAAATAAAAAAAATGACAGATAGAGATGAGCTTGGTAGTAAGAAGCGTCTTCGAAGTCTAGTGGTGGCAGACGTACCTCGGGATGAAAGTAGTATAAAACCTGAAAATGGAGACAAGAAAAAGAATCAAAATGGAGATCATAAGAAGAATAGGGAGATGGATATGTCCAAGAGGCATGATCAAGGAAAAGTGCATAGTATTGAAGTTTCAGAGCGATGGGAGAGAAGGGAACAACCAAAATCACATCAACACGACGTGAGAGAGAAAAGGAGGAGATCAAGAAGTCGTGATCATGGGCGGGATAGACAGAAAAGGTCATCCCCCTTACCAAGGGCTGAAAAGGCTATATCGCGTCATAAGAGGATCCATGAGGAGAGATCAGAAAATGTTGTTAAAGATAGATCGAGAAATCATCATTGTAGTGATAATGAAAACAAAGTGGCTAGCACTGTAAATAACAAGTCTAGACGGTATAGTGCTTCCAAAAGTGAACTTGGTGGATATTCACCACGGAAAAGAAGGGAGGAAGCATCTACCAAGGCTGCTTCTCCGCCTAATCTTTCTTCTGAGAAAAAAAGTGCTAAATGGGATCTTACACCTTCTGTAACTGCTGATATATACTCGAGCTCAGTCTTTTCTGGTCTCCAAGCAGCAACTCAGACAGCATATCCTGCCACCAGTGAGGCTTCCTTGACACTTTTGAAGCCACTTAAGGAGGTGCCATTTATGATGCCACTGGTAAGGCAGACCACTTCTTTTGATTCTGTTCAGCTGACTGAATCCACCAGACGTATGAGGAGACTTTACGCAGAAAATGTGCCGGATTCAGCCTCGGAGAAGTCTCTGATTGAATGCTTTAATGGCTATATGCTATCTTCAGGGTCCAATCACATAAAAGGAAGTGAACCATGTATTAGCTGTATTGTAAGTTTCTGTCTTATGACTTCCTTATCACCCTTGTTATGTTTGTGGATTATAACTCCTGATAGTATTATGTCTTTTAACTGTAGATAAACAAGGAAAAAAATCAGGCACTAGTGGAGTTCCTTACGCCACAGGATGCCTCTGCTGCACTTTCCCTTGATGGTTGCTCCTTTGCGGGTTCAAACCTCAAAATTCGACGTCCTAAAGACTATGTCGAGATAACAGTAAGAATTACAATTTCTCCATTCTCTTTCTCTAGAACTCTTGCTATTTGCTCCACGTGTTTGTCTTCGGTTATTTTGCAAGCTAGCTTAAATATCTGCAATATATTTCTTTGGTGTCATCAGTAAGATTCAATGTTGAATTTCCACTTTCACATGCTACTGAAACTTGTATGGCTTCTTTTATGATTTAAGCTTGAATTTATTTGTGATATATGGGCCATTTTTCTGGTGCAAATTTATGTTACATTAAGTCGAGATCATCAGTCCTCTTTTGACCCAGATATCAAAGTAGACTGGCATAAGGAAGGTAGCAAAACATCTGGACCAATAATTCAGAGCATATAAGCATGGTGTTGAAAATCCAAGTTCTCGTTTACTGATAACCTTTTCTGTTGAAGCATCTTGATTGACTATGTTTGTCTTCTATAATCAGAGAACTTAAGAGATATCTTTATTAACAGATTTATGTATCATTCAGTCTTGATGTCAAATTAGCTACTGCTTAAATCTACTCTGCTGGGCCCAAAAAATGCTCATGGTCCTATCTTCAATGGTAGCATCGTGCCACTTGTTTATAAATATGTTTTGCAACTTGAGTTTGATAAATAGAAGACAGTTGATAAACCATATCTGTTGATCTTTCAACTGTAAGCAGATTTGGTGGTAAACATGTGATTTGGATTGCTTTAGTCAGGTTAACCCTTAGCCATTTTTACAGAGAATGGTTCTCTGAGAATAAATATTTGGACGTCGTGATATAAATTCTATCATGGTAATAGGAAAAGAATTTATGAATTTCCTCTGTAATTGCTTGAGGTTTCCATCTTATGATTCTGTAGCTTACTTGTGATTTTGAAGGCTTCTCTGTTTTTTTTTCCATGCCATTATCATACCAACAATAGGGCGATACTAAGAACTACTGTAGTTTATGGATTCCTGCGCTTGAAATGATTTGTTTTCAAGCCACATGTCAAACCTTTATCTGACTGTCGTGTGTTGGAATCTCTTAAATAGGGTGTTTATGTTGGGTATGTCATAATTCACATTCAGGAGGGTGATGGAGCTGTCTGCTAAATAAGAAGATTCCCAGGTGTAGTGACGAGTGTGTTGTGTTCCAAGTTTCTTCCATTTTTCTTCTCTTTTTTGGGCGTTTAGGAATCTATACAGATCATCCATATGATTTATGGACAGTTATGGTTTACTGTCCTTGTGTTCTTTGCTCCTTTTTCCTCAATGTTTTGGTATCATATGATACCATATCAATATGTTTTATTTTTGGTCTTTTCCGACCTGAATGTGGTTGTAGTAATACTTGCATAAAGGCAGTTAAAGATCTGCCTAGGGTACTCTTTTTCTTTGTTTCTTCTATCTGTTTGGCTATTACTATGTTTAATTCCTTACTGGATCAGATACCTGGTGTTGATTGTTATCTCTATTCTTTCGTGTTAGTGGTCCTAGGAATTACATTACTGCCCTAAGCTCCTACCACCTCCTCTTGAATGGGTCCTCGTTTGAGTCTAAGCGACCAAATATTTTTACGTCTTTGTCCTTCATGTTTGATTACTGTGATTTATCGGCAGAGTGGTTGTAGGAAAGTCTATGAAAAATGACTGATTATCAAGGCTGTGGACTTTGTCCTTCTATCTGGCCTTGTAAACCAGTACTGTGCATTGTACTATGGTTTCTGAGCTATGTTATGGTTACCATCCATGAGCAGGTTTTCAGACGGTTGCTATTTTCATGCAGAACGGTGATTTGGAGAATAAGGAGCCCGCCACCTATGCAGTAAGTGACAATGTGGAGGACTCATCAAACAAGGTACAAATTGTTGCCCTAATTTTGTTTCTTATGACACTGGGTAAATTTTGTTTATATTGAAAATGAATTTAGAATATCTATAAAAATATCTCTTTACAGATTCCCTTTTTAAAGTAATTGTATAGGTCAGAGACTCCTGATATAGTTCAAATCAAGTTTTTTAAGTTTGTGCCATAGTTTAGATACCACTGTAGTTTGGAAAACTCTTGCTCTAGAGGCCAAAACATCGGTATATCTAAATTTGACTTGGTCCTTTCCATTCATGATGTGGCCTGTGGGGCATATCTTCGAATTTTACTGCATGTTTTTTCATGCTGACAGGTTTTATATCCTTTCCCCTTTAATTTATAAGTTCTTTAAAGTTTAAAATGAAGAATATCAATCTTGTTAAGAGTTAAGAACGTAGGAATAAAACATGCGTCAGTATCAACTTTCTTGTAAGTTAGGCTGGTATTAATAGGTGTTATGATCAAAAGCTTGTTATGGTGGTTCAATCTGGAAAATCAAATGTCAGACCACCTGATTATTATTATTATTATTATCTTAAAGCGAACACTCTGAGAATAAAAGTGCAATTTTCTCTGCAGCTAGGGCATCTTTATGGTTATTTATATATTTCTATTAAAAGTTTCACTGTCTTTGGATATCCTAGTTGCTTGCTATACTAATTTCTTTTCCTTTCAAGCTTTGATATTGAGTCTAATATACTTGTTGCAGATCTTTGTTGGCGGATTTCCAAAAGCAATTTCATCTGAAATGGTATGCTGAGCAGTAATTTTTTGAATTTTTTTGACACATTCAAGATTCTATTGGCCCCCATTTCTATCGTTTCAACTTCTAAAATTGTCTGATTCCTTATTACCATTTTTTCAGCTAATGGAGATTGTCAGCGTCTTTGGACCCCTGAAAGCATACCGGTTCGTGAGCAACAATGATCTCAATCAGCGATGTGCTTTCCTAGAGGTTAGAAGATGCTTTTATCTTGGCCTTCTCTGTGGCCAATATTTTACTATCACTCCCTGAAGTTCAACGCCGATACCCCATCTTAGTCTGCCATCATGATGTAGCTCTTGTGATTGTTTCATATCAATGATTGTTCATTTTCTGGGTAGCATGGAAATATGTTATTTCCGCATAACTTGTAGAGTAACGGTGATTGTGACTATTATTCTAAGTATCCATATATTAGCCGTCCCTAACTTTTTAAACTTTTGAAACCTCAGTACACTGATGGATCTGTTACCCTCAAAGCTTGTGCTGGCCTAAATGGTATGAAGTTAGGTGGCAGTGTAATAACAGCCGTTTGTGCATTTCCTGATGCATCATCTGTAGCGGTAATTCAATGCCCCAACTCTCTCTGCTTTCGTTTGTTCATGTTCTGATTGTAAAGGAAATTCCTTTAGTTAAATGCGAGAGTGGTGTGTATATAATGTGTTGCAGGTAAATGAAAATCCACCATTCTATGGGATACCTGATCATGCAAAACCACTTCTTGGCAAGTCTAAGCATATTCTAAAGCTAAAAAATGTGGTAAGGATGATAGGCTTATCCTTTTTCTTGTGAATCTTTCCCACATAAACTACATGAGGCTATACCAACGTTCCATTCTTACTTGTTTGACAGGTTGACTCAGAAGATCTCATATTGCTTTCCAAGGAAGAAGTGAAAGAAATATTGGAAGATGTACGGTTAGAATGTGCCAGGTTAAGCTCTAAGATAATTTTTCCCATGAGTCCATTGAGCTTTAAAAAGCTAGTAAATTTAGAAAAGAGGCCTCTGTGTCTTGTCGTGATGCAGGTTTGGGGTTATTAAGTCGATAAACATCGTGAAACACGAGAGCAAAGATATCACTGCTTCTAAAACAAACACATTGTTGAACATAGAATCAACTGTTGACGAAATGAATGTGTCAGTGATCCAGGCGAAAGACGAGGAGTCCAAGAAAGCGGATGATATTGCAGAAAATATAGATCTCACAGAGGCTGTCAGGCCAGTCAGTTTGATTGGTGAAGACAAGTTATGTGAACCTTGCTCAGAAACTGCTGCCGAGACAAACACGCAAGCAAATATAGATCAACACTCAGCTGATCAAGAACATTATGAAAAGATTGTTGAAGAAAGTGCACAGGATGGGGAAGAGAATCCACAAGAAGTAGTATCAACGCGTACCATGAAAACAAGATGGGATACTGGCGACAAGATAGAGGAAGAACAAGAACAAGACCCGAAGGATGTGTTTGAGCAGGGTTGTATCTTCATTGAGTACAGAAGACCAGAAGCGACACGTGATGCAGCCCATTCGTTACACGGAAGACTGTACGATAACCGGATTGTGAAAGCGGAATACGTTTCTAAAGAGCTGTACCAAATCAGGTTCCCAAGTGGGTAATAATAATCCTGATCCACCTCCCACAAAAAAATATTCAAGTTTGATTCTTCTCATCCTGAATCCTGACCATATAACTGGTTTAAACCGAGTCCAGCGATACATACATAGCATCTACAATCGAACACCCTTAGAATCTTTTTGTAATCGTTGGGATTGATCAGGTTGGTTTTTTATCACCACCTGTTACTTTTTAGTGCATCCGTGAATCTAAGAAGTGAAGGTTCAAACTTAAAACCGTACTTTTCCTTGGTGGCTATGGTTCAGTTTCTTGGTTTTGTTTGAACCGGTATAATTTCGGAACTGAAGTCGGCCGATAAATTGGAAGGCTTATTGGTTCTGAGTTCAGAGAATGTAACCTTCTGGATCACAAGGAGGATTTCATAGTTTTCCTACAAATAAAATAAATAAATAAATGAACCCAATCTCCTTGTCTATCCAAAACTTCCTCGTTCGAAGCAGAGGTAACAAACAAGAACCAAAAATGACAACAATGGCGACTCAAGGTGCTTGGCTACGAATGACCTCATCAGCGAAGACCGTCGCGAAGTCAACCGTGACTTCAAAGGAACTGGGATTCCTCACCTCCCAGCTCAGCGGCCTGAGAATCTCTCATGCTCCCACTGACGTCATCAACCGTATCTCCGTTCCTTCGTTTCCCGGGATTCAGCCTATTGTCGCTCGTAATTCTCCTTTTCCCCCTCTTTATTAGGGTTTGGGCTGATGCATTCGTGTTCCTAATTTGTCTTCTTTGCCTTACTTTCATGTCGGATTTCGAATTTTTTGGTAGCTAGCTCTAAGTATTGATTCGTCTGCCAATTTAAAGTCTTTGCTGGAGATATGATAGAAAAAGTGAGAGCAGATACCATCACTATTCAAGCTCCGTTGCTTTATTATTTTGATGCTATGTCAATTTGGTTCTTGTTTTATCATGTAAACCCATTTTATAAACTGCTCATTTCAATTCTTTCCAGCCTTATGTTTTTCTTGTTTCTCGTCTTTGTCCCGACCTATGTCCATACCATCGTGTACATTTTGAGCTTTTATTGTTTTGTTCTTGAAACTGTTATTGTTTTCTATTTTTCAGGGAGGATCTGCCCTTTTACTGGGAAGAAAGCAAACAGGGCAAACAAAGTTTCTTTCTCTAACCACAAGACCAAGAAGTTGCAATTCGTCAACTTACAATACAAGAGAGTTTGGTGGGAAGCTGGCAAACGTTTTGTCAAACTTCGTTTATCAACTAAGGCCTTGAAGACCATTGAGAAGAACGGACTCGATGCTGTTGCCAAGAAAGCCGGCATAGATCTTCGCAAGAAATAGATGACTATGATGATGATCTTAAAATTTATATACATTTCTTGCTGTTCCTTTTGCACTCGTACATTTCCTTTTAGATTTGGTAAGTATCAATTGTAATCTCTGAGTTGTATCAGAATTCTTGTGAAACAGTTTTTGTTTTTTCCTTTCTTGAGTGGTCAAGAAAAGACTTGAATGAGAAACGAAAACAAACTGTCAGATGCAGGTGGCTCAAAAAATACATTTCATGTTTTCGTTTTATGTTGCTCAGATATTATCGTTACAAGTATCAACTGAATTCTCGGGTTTTCCTTTCGATGATTTCTTCATCGATGCTTCTCCTCCTGCTGATCCTTTTAGTTTCCTTGGACGCGATGTAGCCTTCCGTGGAGGAGCTGACCCATCAGGATGATGATTAGAAACTTCTGTGTCTGGGATACCGCCACGCCTTCTACGAACTGAAGGTTCTTGATCATTTGATGAGTCTATTGACCCGTGTTTGCTTCGGTGATGTCTTGAATGCTTCGATGATTCATCTGATGATGCAGCATTTCCGCTGCTTCTTCTAGGTGGAGACCCATTCGGGTTTGGACTAGCTGCTCCTCCGGCTTTCCGTCTTGTTTTATGTTTCGGTTTCTCGTTGGTGCTCGAAGGCAGTAACTCTTTTAGCCCGACTCCACCTTGGTTCATCCCTGTTAAGATAAACGTCAATCCCTATAAGACTTAACACTTATAGGTGAAAAACTCAGAACATTACAGAAAAATGTTAACCTTGCGGGTTGTATTTGTTTGAATTTCCCCTGGAAACGACTTGACCTTTCTCATGTTCTTGAGGTTTGAAGTCATTCATCTGCGGGTTTCCCCAGAAAGGCAATGATGGTGATGAGTATACATATGTTAAAAAATACGTGTAAATATACAAATGTATATGATCGTACCCAGCTTGGCGTATTGGTGGCTGGACCGTCGGAGCCAATATGGGCAACATGCTTTACATCGGTCGGAAACCCGATCTGCATTTCCTGCTCTTTCTCTTCGTCTGCAATAGAATGAATCTCTCAATGTATTATTGACTTGTGACACAAGGAACAGCAACAAACCTTATCATGTCTATGGAAAAAACCCGATGAGACTCACCAAAAATCTGAGTAATATAACGAAGGCCCTTAAGAAGACCCTTCATTGTCGTCGCCATTGATCTATAAAGGGTTGGTTCCGGTTAGTGGTGTATCCACACGCCGGAGACAACCTTTTTTGTTCAAGATTTGACGATCCTTACCGTCAACCTTGAACGCATGGATTTTCTCTGGACGAGAACAAAGGTTGAAATTTTTTTGAAGAGAGAGAGAGAGAGAGAAAGGACCTAGAGATATCCAAGAAGTTATTGGTTTGAGACCAACCAAAAGAGAAGAAGAGGGAGAGCACTAAGTTTTGCTTCTTATTTTGTTTTTTTACCAGAGGAGAACAAAATTTTAAAAAAAGAAATAAACTTTTTCATAGTTGTAAATAACAAATAATATATAATTGATATATTTAGAATGTTGATGGTAATGGAGGCAACGTAGAGCTATTATCAAACCCTCCATGGGAACCAAGTTGTCAAGAGGATTTTACGGGTCGAGAGGAAGGAGACACGACCACCACACCAAATCTTGTTATACTAAATTATTTAACATATTGTATTATGCAAATCTTACATACGTATACCACTATATTTCTTTTGACTATTTAGAGAAAATGCACTAGATTGCAGATAATAGAATATGTGATAACACCTAAGTAAGATGCTGATGTTGAGAGATTTTGCGATAGTAAGCATAATGGTTTGCGAGAAAAATTTGACAAAGATTGTTTCGTAGTATGCTATATAAATTTTAATATAGAGTGAACATTCAGATAGAATCCAACACATTATTCTGTTTCTTTGAGAGGGTCTTAAAGTTTTAGAATCCGAAGGAGAAAGTTAAAACGGACAAAGATTCCGGCAAAGAAGATTCCACACCGGCTATTATACCACAATGATGACTCAAGAAGCTTTCATGTCATCCATACCGACGCTAGCCTGCGAAAGATAAACAAGATCAAAAGAATCAAAACCTGTGATGGAACTGAGACAACTCTCTAAGGATTTCAAGCTTTGAAGGTCTTTGTTTACCAGAAACTTATGATTATCATGAAGAAACGGACCAAACTCAGCGCAAAACCTTTCCATGTCGGTGTAGATTTCACCGGAACCAGATATGACATCCATGAACTTCTTCCTGTCTGGAGCTAGCTTTAAAGCCATCTGATTAAAACAAAAAAAAAAAATCAAAATGAGATTGGTTTTCAGAAGATGCTGACTAGACAGAGAAGCACGAGTAGGTACATACAGAAAAGGTAGAGCTGGCTAGCCATCCGTGCCATTTCTTAAGTGTTTTTTGGTATGAGTCACCACAAGCTTGTGGCATTGACCAGTCTTTATGTGCTACCAAGTTGCGGAACAGCTCCACCAAGAAATCCATGGCTCTGACAGATTCACTCATAAGTGATACATACGGTTTTGAGAAGCTGCTCTCTTTAAATTAACGTACATATCGTTTACAAGCTATCACTGTTTACCTGGTTAACCAGAGAAGACCGTTGGTACAGCTAGCCGATGCTTTTGCTGTCTTAGACTCAATTTCAACTTGAACAAAAGTGTACAAGTACTTGAACTTGTCGGGATCAGACAAGTAGTTCTTCTCCAACCTCTACAAAAGAGACGGACCAATCAGTTCACAATTGTAAGATAATAACCAAATGCACAGAGGTCATATCACCAGTACAGAACATTTTCACTAGCCTATATGTAAGGAGAGTAAGAACTAAGAACAAATCCAGGCAATGCACTTATATCAATGTTTTGTGCTGTGCAAGCTACATGGATTTGTGCTCTTCGAATATTAATGTCGTGGAAACTAAAAAAGAATTTTACCGATATGTTGCCACCAACGTCAGATTTTACGAGAGTCATAGCAGCTCCAAATTTATCTGAAAAAACAGATACAAAAGAAAACGAAGTCATGATATAGGAAACCACAACATTTATATTTGATAGAACAATGAACAATCACTAGATATACATGAGCTTATAATGTTGAAGAACAAGTGAAATATCAAAAAAATTAGACCACTGAAAAAAGAAATAGCAGAGAAAGTATCTGGCTTTGTTACCTATAACAGGCAAGATGGTCTTGCAGAGCTCAAGAAATGGCTTAGTAAGCATCTCGCCATGTTCAGACTTAACATGCTTCATTCCTTCCAAACAAGGCGTGAACACAGTCCCTTCCATTTTCAACTTTGATTTAACTGAACATGACAACAAAACATTAGAAACAAACATATCACCATTTACTCAACGAACAGTGAATGATCCACTCACCACAATCTTTCTAAAAGTAAACATTGAAGATAATCAACATTATACAATCCCATCAAAAAATTCAATGAAGGATCTGAGTAACCACATAAACAACGCTGAGAAACACAATAACTCGAGCAAAAAGGTTATGAACTGATTAAATTCACTTGTAAAATTTAGACCCGCATCATAAATACGGAAACTTTCAATAACAGGATCGAGACGGAGATCTAGTTTCAATTGGATCCATCGATCAAAGCATATCATCATACCAGCGTGAGAAGGCACAAGATAATAATTCGAGATCTATGGTTTCAATGTAAGAGAATGACGAATCTGAGGTCGATCTCAAACTGAGAAAGAGAAAAGTTCGTACCTTTGCGCGAGAATTGAAAGAGGAAGGATCAGATTCTGCTACTGAGATTGCTCTCTGGAGTTAGAAAATTCTCTTCTTCTTTTCTCATTAAAAGGTTCTGGTTTTAGAGATATTAATTGTTATACGTCCAAACTTTACGAAATTTTATGATATTAACCCCAAACATTTATTATTTTTCAATTACATCAATCTCATATCATAGTGGAAATTGGAAATGTTAACGCGCAATTTCATTGTACAAATGGAAAATTGTAACCGAATGATTGCATCAATTTTTGTTAGTTTTTTTTTTTTTTCAGATAAGGCTGAGCTTAAATATTGGTGGGAAAAAAGAAAAAAAAATTGGTAGATATATACATCTTTTTTTTCTTTTTTTTTTGGTTAAGATATATACATCATTGAATATTCAAATAGATACAATCATATTTATGCTCACATCACTTGTGCCAATAGAACCATATTTGGAATTGGAGTGAAATATATTGTTCTTGCTCTTATGGGACAGTGCAAATTAATTAGTCTTGTAAAAGTTTAACAAGAAAGCAGACTAATCATTTGTTTTGGTTGGTTGATGATACTCGTTTATATATATTGACAACCGCATTATTTGATTAGGTGAGCTGATATGTTTTTTTTTTATCAGTTTTTATTCGTATTTTATATTCGTGAAAGAAGTAGACTTTGGATCATTTTGGATGTTTACGGACGCGTGGATGTGAAATTCACATTGTGAATACAGAAGCAGACCGATTGGTCCTTAGACCGATTAATATCCAAAGACTACTAGAAAGATATGAACCAAAGATTAGTCCCTAGCAGATTACTAGAAACGACCAAAGACGACTAGACATGCATGGAATGGTAGGTTCTTTTTTTAAGACGATCAGTCCCTTACTGGATTCTAACATTTTTAAAATATATATATATATATATATATATATATATATATAACCGACTTCTAAAAATCTATGTGGATTCAACACATTACTGTACTATATATCACGTGTTATGTGTATCAAGATCACCACAGATACATGATGAATCGAGAGGTTGAAGATGAAGAGTAAGAGAGAGAGAGAGCTGAAGAGAGAGAGTGACCAAAAATCATAACATTCTCATTAATGAAATAAGTTGTTACAATGTGGTTTATATACTCGCATGTATATGAAACTAAAACTTAGGAATGTATTTGAGTAAAAATACTCATGATACACCCCCGCAAACCTTTGAATCCAAACATAGTGTAGGATTATAAAGGTTTGAAAGTGACATTCTAACAAGCAAAGAGTGAAAAGGCTTCGGATGCAAAGGCTTTGTCAGAATATCTGCTAGCTGATTCTCACTTGAAACATGAAGAGCTTTAAGATTCCCAAGCTTGATCTGATCTCTGACAATGTGACAATCAATCTCTATGTGTTTTGTTCGCTCATGAAACACTGGATTTGTTGCGATGTATATAGCTGACTTGTTGTCACAAAATAACTTTGTTGTTGTAATCACACGAACATGAAACGCTTGCAGAAGCTGTTGTATCCATAAAACTTCTCTTGTTGCCTCAGCCAAGCTTCTATATTCTGCTTCTGTGCTACTGTGACTTGCAACTTGCTGTTTCTTAGACTTCCAGCTTATCAATGAAGTTCCCAAATAGACACAAAATCCTGAAACTGATCTTCTGGTGTCTTTGCATGTTCCCCAGTCAGCATCTGCAAAAGTGTTTATGCAAAGTTCTGTATCTACAGAGTAGAAAATACCCTGACCTGGACTGCCTTTAAGATATTTAAGTACTCTGTATACAGCTTGAAGATGTTGATCTGTCGGGGCTTGAATATACTGACTAAGCTTGTGTACTGCATAGGTTATGTCGGGTCTTGTGATAGTCAGATATAGAAGTCGTCCCACCAACTCTCGGTATAATCTTGGTGTATCCAAAGGTAAGCCAGATTCACCAGTCAAAGTCACATAAGGATCCATAGGCACATCAGTTGGTTTGCATGCCAATAAACCTGTATCTTCCAAAAGATCTAAGGTGTATTTCCTCTGACATACTGATATTCCTTTCGATGATCTTGCTATTTCTAAGCCTAAGAAGAATCTCAGTGGACCTAAATCCTTTATCTTGAAAGCTTTTGCTAAAACAGCTTTAAGATCAGCTAAATCTGTAGTATTGTTGCTGGCAATAGCTATATCATCAACATATACTAAGACAGCTATGAAACTTGTCTCTGTAAACTTCACAAACAAAGTTGTATCTGCAGGTGATTGTATAAATCCAGCCTCTAGCAAAGTTACTGTGAACAATTTATTCCATTGGCGAGATGCTTGCTTGAGACCATAGATAGATTTATGCAATCTACACACTGCATTAGGAGGTAAAAGTTCTGAATTACCTGAAGTATAACCCTGCGGAAGACTCATGTATATCTCTTCTTCTAAGTCACTGTGTAAAAACGCATTAGAGACATCCATTTGGCTTAGTTCCCAGCCTTCCTTAGCAGCCAAACCTAACATCATCTTGACACTAGTCAGTTTAGCAACAGGGGAAAAAGTTTCATTGAAATCCACACCTTCCTGCTGTGTGAATCCCTTAGCCACCAATCTTGCCTTATATCTTTCTATAGAGCCATCTGAGTTGTACTTAATCGTGAACACCCATTTACAGCCAACAACATTCTTCCCTGGTGGCAATGAAGTAACACTCCAAGTCTTATTCTGTTCCATTGCTCTCAATTCCTCATTGCATGCACCTCTCCAGTTCTCAGATGCCATGGCTTGCTTGAATGTTTTCGGTTCAGTCTCCATAGAATAGGATAAGATATATGAACAATAGGTGGGTTTGAATAGATCATAGGATAGAACAGATGATAATGGATATGGTGTAGTATGATTAGGTGGTAATGGTGGAGAAATTTGAGCTAATGCACAATGATACTCAGATAAGTAACTAGGAGCCTTAGATGCACGTTTTGATCTTTCTCTAGGTAGGAAAACAACATTCGATTCTGATTCCACAGTAGTTGAAATATTTGTTTCCCTAGACCCCCTCCCTAGACTAGTTACTTCTGTATCATTAGCTATAAGAACAGGTTCAGTTTCAGGTATTTCATGTAAAATAACTTTAGAAGGTTCTGAAATATATGGAACAGGATTAGGTAAAACAGTATGTGAAAAGAAATCTGGAATATGTATCTCAGGATTTAAAAATGGGAAAACATGCTCATGAAATACAACATTCCTAGTAATAGAGATCACATTTGTTTCAATATCCAGTACCTTATATCCCTTATAACCAGCTGGATACCCCAAGAAAACACAAGATTGTGCTCTTGGAGTAAATTTGGTTCTATCTTTTTGTAAAGTACTAGCATAGCAAAGACATCCAAATGTTTTTAAATTTGAATAGTCAGGTTTCTTATTCATCAATTTTTCATAAGGTGTGATATTATCTAGCAAAGGTGATGGTAAACGATTTATCAAGAAAGCAGCAGTCAACACACAATCACTCCAATATGCTAATGGTATATTAGATTGAAAAAGTAAAGCACGAGCAACATTCAATAGATGTTGGTGCTTCCTTTCCACTACAGAGTTCTGTTGTGGAGTGTAAGCACAAGAAAAATAATGAATGATGCCATGTTCTTTAACTAATTCAGAGAAGTTTAATTCTGGTGCATTATCACTTCTTATTGATTTTATTTTTGCATTATATTGAGTTTGAACAAGTTTTAAGAACATTGTAAAAATCTGCAAAACATTACTTTTATTTTTCAACATGTAAATCCAAGTAACTCGAGTACAATCATCTACTATTGTTAAAAAATACTTATAACCTTCTATAGATTCAACTGAAAAAGGTCCCCAAATATCCAAGTGAATCAAATCAAATGGTTTTGGAGACATGTTATTTTTAAAAGGAAATGACAGACGCTTTTGTTTAGCTAATGGACATATAGGACAATGATCTAGACTCAATAACTCGGACTTAGGCATAGGAATTGTACCAGATAACATTTGTAACTTGGCAGTCGACGGATGACCCAATCTCTGGTGCCAGATAGTTCCATCTACTGTCAAGGATCCACAGAAACTTATGCTAGCAGGAGACTTAGCAGGTTGAGAAAGGGAGTGAAGATCCAATATGTAAAGGTTATGTATAACACTAGCACTCCCAATCATCCATTCCTGAGAAGACCCCTGTAAGTAACAAATAGTAGGAAAGAAGTGAGCTGAACATTGATTATCACATAACAAAGTTCTTACACTAATGAGATTAAATTTGAAAGAAGGCACATATAGAACATTATATAAAATCAAAGAATCAGACAAATGAATTGTTCCAGTATGACTAATGGGGAGTCTAGTTCCATTTGGTAATGCTACTGTGATTCCAGAAACTGAATAGGTATTACTAAATCTAGAAAGATCACAACATACATGACTAGTGGCACCACTATCAATTATCCAAGAACCATTAGGCAAAGCAGATTCAAGTGTAGAAAGACAATGATGTTGAAAAGTGAGATTATTATTCTCATATCTAAGATTAGAAGAGATATTGAAAACTGTACCAGATGATGATAAAGGGTCCATGACACCTGATTCCGAGATAGATGACTGAGACTGAGAATTTGAAGGCCCTGAAACTTGAACTTGAGTACTTATCTGATTAATATGAGCTTGTGATTCTGGTCCTTTCACATGAGACTGAAGCTGAGTCATAATAGATTGAGCTTGCTCTGGTGTCAACTGACTAACATCCAGGTTGACTGCATTCATTGCTGGAGGAGGATAGTAGAGAATATTACCATCTGAATTTTCTGCACCAGTGAAAACATTAGCAATAGTTCTTGGTGGTATATTCGAATTCATTGGCCTCGATTGATGTCTGGAGCTGTAATTCATCTGATTGTACTGAGGAGAGGCTGCTCTATTCCCATATTGACCCATAGAATTCTGATTAGGAGGCTTGTATCCAGGAGGATAACCATGGACTTTAAAACATGTCTGAACAGTGTGTCCCAACTTCCCACAGTGAGTACACAAAGGACGATTACCTCTTGGTCTATATGTATTATAAGCTGCAACCATCTCATAAGAAGAATCATATCCATAAGAACCATTTCCATCATACGATTCAGCGGCTTGAAAAGCTACATTGTCTGTCTTAACTCCTGGCTTTACTATCCTCTGTCTTTCATCCTGAGCTACAATATTGAAAGCTTCTTCAATGTTTGGAATCGGTTTAAGCATCAGAATGTGACGTCTAGTCTGTTCATAAGCTTCATTAAGTCCCATAAGAAACTTTGTAACCCTACTGCGTTGCTGTAATTGCTCCCAAAGTACAGCTGCATTACATTCACATCTTCCACAGGTACAAACAGGCAGTTCAATGTAGTTCTTGTGTTCTTCCCAAAGTGTGACTAACTCAGTATAATAAGCACTAACATCCATTGAACCCTGCTGTATACTACTTAATCGTTGTTCAATCTCATATACCCTAGGCGCATCATCTTGTTTGAAACGAGACATCAAATTTTTCCAGATTGCTTCAGCCGATGACATAAACAAGAGACTCTGACCTATTTTCTTTGAGACTGATCCCATTAACCAAGTAATGACCATATCATTGCATCGTGACCACGAACCTGAATCGCGATGATCATCAGATGGCTTCTGTATCGTTCCATCAACAAAACCAAGTTTGTTTCTCACATTTAACGCCATACGCACAGATCTCTTCCATGTGTGAAAATCTGCACCCGTAGTTAATCGATCCGTCACGAGTTGTAACCCAGCGTGATCCATTCCATGAAGATAGTATGGATTCTCATAAAGATCTGTAGAAGTCGAATTCGAAGTAGTCGTACCCGTTCGAGCTGAATTTGAGCTCATTTTGATTGAGATTTGAAGAGTAATGTAGAAAGAGAAGGAGATATGAAGAAATCAAAGAAGAAAAGATTGAATTGAAGATTGAATCGAAGAAATTGAGAGATTAGAAAAGCGCGAACAAGAATTGAAGAATCGCGAAGAAGAAGATGATTGAAAGATTCAAGATAAACGAAAGAATGTGAATGAGAAGTATGTTAATCGATGATGCACTCATGATTTTGATCGTGATAGCTCTGATACCATATCAAGATCACCACAGATACATGATGAATCGAGAGGTTGAAGATGAAGAGTAAGAGAGAGAGAGAGCTGAAGAGAGAGAGTGACCAAAAATCATAACATTCTCATTAATGAAATAAGTTGTTACAATGTGGTTTATATACTCGCATGTATATGAAACTAAAACTTAGGAGTAAAATGTATTTGAGTAAAATACTCATGATAATGTGCACTTGCAATAGTCATATAGGGTTTAATTAAAACTCGAAAGATTAATAAGGCTAGATTCCAAGAATGTCATGGGGACGACTCATCGAGTTCGAGCGTCGTTGGTGACATTTTCCAGTGGTTGGGTCAAAATTTTAGCAAGTTAGTCCGTCATATGTAGATTCGAAGTGTCTATATATTTAGACCGTTATTAACTCAAAGAAAATGATAGTTGAATTTGATGTAGCTTGCAAAACTGTGATAAAATTAGAAGCAATTAAAATGAGGAATTGGATATCATATCACAAAAGAGCTTAACATGCCGGAAACTAGAGTATACATCATAAGCTCGACTTTAGTTTACCCCATGTATTAAAAGTCGTTGACATATACGGTAACTAAATTTAAAAGAAGTTTCGTTTTTCTAAACTTCTATACAACCCAAGTAATATTCATAATGCTGTACAACCCAAGTAATATTCATAATGCTATACAACCCAACCCAAAAGTATATCCACAATGAAGATATAAAAAAAGAAAGAAGTCCATAAATATGGATTTCTTTGACGACAAATCCTCATTGAATTATATGGATTGGGACATGACCTTTACCTTCTCCTCACGCAACGGGCATTGTTTGAAGTCTCCCACTGTCCCTCCCTCCTTTAGACCCCACATTTACATAATGCCCACCCATTTTAGTATATGATCTTCTACAATCTTACATATTTATACCACTTCATATTTATAGTTCATTTTGTACATGCACTTATAAAAATACGATATGAAAGAGGGTGGACTCTCATGGCCCTCCATACTCCGTAATTTAATATAAGTCGGATTGAGAAACTAGATAAATTTAGTTTGAACACAACAAATTACAAATATATATTAGTTTCTTCTACATTCGCCGCTATTTTGTGAGAGTCGTGGTTTCGTACACTTTATTCCTATATGTTCCCCCACTAATCACGTTTCATACGGTGGTACCACTTGGTCTAATTTTTTTCTCATTGGTGGCAATAGGAAAATTCAAACTAGAGGCAATTTAGTCATTTTGGGAGATTGTGTTGTACGGACTATGCGAGACAAAAAGAAGTTAATTGTGGTGGAGAGAGGAGAGGAATGAGATCTCCGGTGGGACAACGCAATTGAACGTCGTTTTAGAAGCCAACTAAATGCCTTCTTGATGACTTCTCCGTGCGATCACGCATTTACCTAATTGTAACTTTTACTTGTTTTGCTTGTTAAGTTCTTCTACAACATTATACCACTTTTGTTCTTCTTCTTTTTTTTGAGATTTATTGCAACTTGGCAACTTGCTTGAGCTCCTGAAATTTATTATATCTATCTCTTAAAAAGGTTACTTAAGCGAGTACTTTTTTTTTGTATTTTTGAGATCCATTGCACCAATCAAACAATCACAAATAATGAACTGTTCTGGCCTTTGTTGTGTTCACTTGTTTGCATGCAGCTCAAACTCAGCATCTTACCCTAAATCATATAAAACATACAGCTTATGTAGAATTATAATACTTATAGTGAAAAAACGTGAATTCAATATCATCTCCTATAATTTAAATGTTATCAATTGTTGTTCAAAGCCGACCGTTTTGGAATTTCTTTTCTTTCGTTTTACGTAAGACTACAGATTCAATAACGTGTAGGATTAGAAACCCATACTTATAATATTGGTTGACAAAAAAGAAGAAAGAAGGAAAGAAAAGCTCATATAATATACATATTTTTATAATGATATACGTACGCTAAAGTGTTTATATATAAAAGAAGATGGGTTAAGCAAATTTATATGATCTGGATTGGGAAAAGATGATTGGACCAACGGAGTAGAGGAATCTGCAGGGCATTTGTCACTATCAAAAGGACCCCATGAGATCACATCTCCCCTTAAATTGAATAATCGAAATCTAGTTTCATACGCATCTTTCTTTTGCTAGCTCGTAGCACATCGTATACGAAATATGCCATAACTAGCTACAAAACTGACACCATTTTCCAATAACTTTTTTCAAAAAACTTTGTTGATTAATTAATGTTCGTTAGTAGTGTAGATGATCATAATATAATGTGTATGGTTAATTATAATCTTGTCATTTCAGTTAATGTTCGCACAATAACACCAAACGATATAGCCATTTCTGCAACAAACGAGAGGGGACGTCTTCGGTTGGCGTCGACGTGGACTTTTATTTTTTTGAGTCATCATAAGATGAAATGTTTATGTATAATGAGTGAAAATCATCTCCAACCTCTTTGACTCCCACTATGTGATTTCACGGAGTTCGTATCTTATTTATAGAGTCGTTCGCAAACATTCATGTCTCACGACAAGATTAGTGAGTTTTTCTTTCTTTCTGTCTTCAAGGGAAAAAGTCTTTGGATCGTAATGCTACTCACTAAATTATAAACGATAAAGTTCTATTTGAACATATTATTATTTTAAAAAGATGTGTGTGAATTTTGTCTTTTAAGTTTGAAGTATTCATTCGTATAGCACGGGTAACACTATTTATTAGTAAAAAAATAAAAAATTGGTTAAAAGATTTAGTAAAATTATTTTAATTGTTTAAACTTTAAACTATAGTGTTTTTTACGTCGTGGTACATTTTACACGTAAGTTAAAAGGAGAAAAAACTCTTTAAGTAGCAATGATATATACCAAATTCAATTCATTAAGACATGGCTGAAAACATAAATAAAAGGTACGATACGTAGAAAAATACGATAATGAACTCCATCCATTGCTATAAAATAAACGCCACTTTCCCTCTCCATTTTCAGTAATCTCTCTCTCTCTCTCATCTTCTCTGGTCTCTGTTTCTACGGTTCCTCAATCCTAAAAAACTTTTTCAAAAAATATATAATTACACGTACGATGGAGAAGCGTAGCTCTATTAAGAACAGAGGAGTACTTAGGTTACCACCAGGGTTCCGATTTCACCCGACCGACGAAGAGCTAGTTGTTCAATATCTGCGTAGGAAAGTTACCGGTTTACCCTTACCGGCTTCTGTTATACCGGAAACCGATGTTTGTAAATCCGATCCCTGGGATTTACCTGGTAAAACCAATTTTTTTTTTGGTTTCATTCGAATTCTTCAATTCGGTTTTTTGATGGTTTTGTTAATAATGTTATGCATGGATGATGATCATTCACAGGTGATTGTGATTCAGAGAGGTATTTTTTTAGCACAAAGGAAGCTAAATACCCGAACGGAAACAGGTCGAACCGATCAACCGGTTCGGGTTATTGGAAAGCGACGGGTATCGATAAGCAAATCGGGAAGAAGAAGCTTGTCGTGGGGATGAAGAAAACTCTTGTTTTCTACAAAGGTAAACCACCTAACGGGACAAGAACCAATTGGGTTCTTCACGAATACCGTCTTGTTGATTCCCAACTAGACTCATCATATGTAAGAGAATCTTTCACAATACTCATGAGAATCACTACTTATTAAGAAGCTAGGATTTTAATAGTGTCTTCTTCTTCTTTCTTCTTTTTTGTTTTTGGACAGAACATGAATTGGGTTCTGTGCAGAGTGTTCTTGAAGAAGAGAAGCAATAGTAACAAGAGGAAAGAAGAAGAAGAAGAGCGAGACGAGTTGGAGAACGAGAAAGAGACAGAGATAGAGGAGAATAAGAAGAGTCGTAGTACTAGTACTTGTCCCATTTTTTATGACTTTATGAGGAAAGAAGATAAGAAGAAGAGAAGAAGAAGAAGATGCTGTGATTTGAATTTGGCTCCTGCTGCGTCGTCGTGTTGTTGTTGTTTTTGTTCTTCTTCAGGGTCTTCGTCGTCTGTTTGCTCAAGTGCTCTAACTCAGACATCTTCTAATGATACTCATAATTATCATGAAGAAATCACTTGTCGGGAAAATAAGTTTTGTTTGTTTCTCTAAAAACCTCAACAAACAATTTTAGAAGTACAAGTTCTTCTTCTTTTCACTTTAATTAATTAGTTTATGATTGATTACCAAGTGATTAATTAACAAAGCAATCTGGACCATACAAGGTGATTTACTTCTCATGGTAGCTATTAGCTAGCCTTTCTCATTTGTCGTCCATAACGATTTGTATTATTTTATAAAAGTTTTCTCTCAGTTTACAAATTAAAATTTATGTAATCTTAACTAAATGAGAAGTAAACCATAAAATCATCAGGTTCATTAAATCTAAAAACTCATAACCTCTCTGAACGCCACCCCTTCGTTGACTAGACTAAAGATTACCAACATAGTCGTGATAGAAATTAAGTCGTATTTTTACCCTCAATGATTTCCTAAAAATGTCTACATATATATGCTCAAACTATGTGTAACTTTTGGCACAGTATCTATCTTAACATTTTTGAAGTACATTTTGTACTAAAATATATTTTGGGTTATAACATTTTATTTTGTAATATTTGCATAGTCAAACCCTTAGTCATATGAATAAATAACAAAATTTAAAAGTAAATTTTGTACTTAAATCACAAGAAAATTGGAAACAAATATTTATTACATTAAAAAAATTTCTTAAAATATCTCTCTAATAAGTTAAATCCCTCTCCAATATATTTATATGATCTTATTCGTTTTTAATTTATATTATTACATAACATATATTTATAATAAAAATACAAATTTTTTCAGACATTTTGAAATTTAAATTTTTGAAAACGGAGGCATATAACTCAATCGATAAAGGAAAAAATATATGTACAACGTCTACATAAGGTATAAAATTTTAGATAACAGTTCAAAACCATTATAAATTGAACGGGTTTGAATTTAGATAAATATGATTATATTTTTCAATGGGTTATATATATTAAAAATCTTTTATGGGTTAAGTTAAAATATGATTTTTTATTTACAACGAAATCTTCATGTGGTATACCGCAGGTTGACTACATATATCTATGAATCTACTTATAATAAAAATTCATAAAATTATATAAAAATAAAATGAAATAAACACGTATAAAACTAGACTACATAAACCAACTACAAAAATATCCACCAAACAAATATATTAAACTATGGACCCGTGGTGTACCACGGGGTAAATCCTAGTCTTATAATCATATTTGTATACAATAAATTAGATATTGTCTCATGCCATGCGCGAGATTATTTATTATTCAGTTTTAATGTGTTGAATACATTATCATCACCAAATTTTTTTTTTTTTTGTGTTGAATACATCATCTTCACCAAAAAAAAAAAAATTGTGTTGAATACATTATAAAAATACTATTTGAGGGTTGAAACATTGCTAATGGTGTTCAATCTAAACTTTGATTTTTTTTTTAATATAAAAGATAATATCCAAAAAAATATAGCATATATGATTTTGTATGGTTTTAGTTAATTTCTGATTCAAAAAAAAATGTATAGATAGAGAGATATATATGTACTTTATATTTCAAAAAAATTTAAATTTTGAATTTTTTATTTGTTTGCTTTACATATAAAAATTATCTTGGTGAAAACTCTCTCATGTGGTAAAAGTTTCAAAAGCATTAAGCATGGTGCTGGCATCATTTATTCCACTTGATGACGTAATTATAAGCGAAATTTAAAAACAAATCAAAAGAAATTGATAAAAAGGACGAAAGAGAATCAAAGAGACGACGAAGTCAAGGATCAAAGGTTGTAACTTTTCCTCTAAACAAACGCTTTTTTATTTTATTTTTTTTATCTTTATTTTCTTTTTCCTTTTGGCTTCCCTGGTTTTTGATTTTTTTTTTCTGGCATTATTAAGGTTTTTTTTTTTTTTCCTTACGTTGTGTTGTTGAATTGAAATGGCGTAGTTGGAGAAGAAGAAGAAGAAGAAGACGAAGCGATCATCTCCACCTACTTGGCCGTTTTCGATTTTCCTTGATTCGCCGGAGATACAGCGTTCCCGGCCATGAAAACCTCTCTCCGACGGTTACGAGGGGTGCTTCACAAGAATGAATCTAAGGACCGGAGAGATCTTCGAGCTTTCGTTCAGAAAGACGAGCTTGCCCAAGCTTCGCAGGTGCCAATTTATATATCTATCTTTCTCCAATTCGAATTTGGAACTGTCTTCATTTGTGTGTCTTTCGTTGTTTGCTATTTGATGATGATGATGCGATTCTCAATCGTATTTCGCGTTTTCGTCGTCGCTCTAGGTGAGTTATGTACCAAATTTAAGCTTTGTGGCGACGATTTAGGAAACGATGCGATGATTCAAATCTCGGATTCGTGAAAATTACTTGTGATATAAAGTTGGTGGTGGATCTGGAGCTTCTTAGTTTTTAAACTGAGTTTATCTGTAGTTTTTCCTTATCTAACTGGTTAAATTAGATCATCTCCTTCACTTGACCAACCAAATGATTGGTTACATTTTGCGGAGGAAGCTTGGTTTTTTCAGTTTGGTGCTCTCTGTTTTACGAGGTTATTTACATTTAGATGTAGCTGGTCTCACAATGTTAAGCTTGTTTGTGATTTTCACAGGACGTTGAAGACATGAGAGATTGCTATGATAGCTTGCTCAATGCCGCGGCTGCTACTGCTAACAGTGCATATGGTAATTTATTGGTGCTTTTACTTTGTTTGGATAAATGTAACCAGAAACTTCATCACTTTCCTATTCTGAATGGATCACGCTAGCTGATTATACTGTTTGTTGTTAATTCGGTTGATTATATAATTTAGCTTTGATTCTTGCACTGTTGCATTATCGTTTGCTGGTTCAGATGCCTAGGTCTGTATTTTAAATGTGCTGTCACCTTTTTTTTTTTTGGCAACTCTGAAGTGAGCTCTCACATCCCAATTTGTAGAGATAAACATCTCTTCTTGTTAATAAATATATATTCTTATCATTTGCAGATTTCATTTGCTTGCAGAATTCTCTGAATCTTTGCGAGAACTAGGTGCTTGTCTTCTTGAGAAAACTGCTCTCAATGATGATGAAGAAAGTGGTAAGTTTTACAAACATATTCCTTAAATGTATCATAATTATCTCTCGTGTCAATGTTTATACATTTGAAACCAGCAGTTTGCATTTAGCTTTTTGTCAAGTTTTCTGCACATTACATATATGTATATTCGTGGCTTTGATCTATGTAATGTGCATCTGAATTAGAATCATTCTGCTTCTCTGATTCTTATGCAGGTAGAGTGTTAATTATGCTGGGAAAATTGCAGTTTGAGTTGCAAAAACTTGTTGACAAATATGTGAGTTTTATAGATCTGTTACAAACTGGTTCAAAAATTTCCTATTGAGTTTTCCTTTGTCTAACCACCAATAACTAATTAACTATCAATATTGTTGATTCAGCGGTCTCACATATTCAAAACGATCACAATTCCCTCAGAGTCACTTCTTAATGAACTCCGCATAGTTGAGGTTTGTTTATCTAGAATCTATTATATCTATTTAGTTTTTCAATGGTCTGAATGGCCCATCCTTGTTGCGTGTATATGAGCTTCCATATTGACAGAATGAGATGTTAAGCGTTGTTTGATATGTTTGCTGATTCAACCTTTTCAAGTGACAATAGTAATATGTTTACATGATAATGCAGGAGATGCAGCGGCTTTGTGATGAGAAAAGGTTTTTCTTGCCCCGCCTTCTTATTTATTTCGTAAACACCTATTAGTGGGACAGGAAATAATTTCTGAAACGCATTACCTTATTATAATTGAAAAAAGAAGTTAGCGTTGAAGGAAAACGCCTATATTTTGTTTTTAGAGATACATGAGTTTTGTGGGTGATTGGTTCAGAATATCTATCATTCTCATGATGGGAATACCATTTTTTGATATTAAATCATCTCCTCTTATCAAAAATTTCTTACATGTTAGTGGGAAAAATATATTATATTCATGGAACTCTTTACCTGTCAGGAATGTTTATGAAGGCATGCTTACGAGAGAGAGAGGGAGATCAAAGGGTGGGAAAGGAGAAACTTTTTCGACACAGCAAGTAAAAGAAGCTCATGATGAATACGAAAACGAGACAACTTTATTTGTTTTCCGTTTAAAATCCCTGAAACAAGGGCAAACACGTAGTCTTTTGACTCAGGCAGCACGGCACCATGCAGCACAGGTTTCATCTTAGGCCATTTTTAGTCTTTCTGTTTTGATCACCAAAGCACTGTGTTGATGTCACTTTTTGGTTGGTTTTGCAGTTATGCTTCTTCAAGAAGGCTCTTAATTCCCTTGAAGAAGTAGAGCCGCATGTACAGATGGTAACCGAGTCGCAGCATATTGATTACCATTTCAGTGGATTAGAAGATGATGATGGGGATGATGAAATTGAAAACAATGAGAACGATGGTTCTGAGGTGCATGATGATGGAGAGTTGAGTTTTGAAAGAGTTAATGATAAGGACCAAGATGCGGATTCTTCAGTCGGTGGCTCCTCCGAGGTGATGGTTTCATATGTTTACGGTTCTGATGATATTTCCTGTTTATCCGTATTGGTGCTTTTGATGAACGCGGATAGAATAGTGATAATAGTGATACTCCATGTGCCAATGTATAAATGACGACCAATATAACAAAGCAATTATAAATGAGGTTGATAAATGGGAAATGCTTAATATGGAAGCATTTTGACATCTTTAACCAACAAAAAGGTCATGTCTCAATAGAATCGTATCGGTTGACATTTTCTAGACTATCTAAGTTATCTAAATCTGGTGTTGTTTTATTTTTAAACCCGTTTCCTTAATAATGTTCACCTATGCATGCAGTTGGGTAACTCAGACATCACATTTCCACAACTTGCTGGACCAGATACTGCACAGGTAATATACATTTCCCATCTTCTCTGCTTTTCCGTTCAAGTGACTCAAAAATTCTCAGGATGCTCATAGTTCATGGAATTTAATTTCGTTCGTCTTTGCCTGGAACTGGAAAACCTCCCAAAATATTCAGTTTGCACAACTCTCTTACCAGTCTTGTTTTATCAGCAGGAAAATGTGGAAGGAAATTACAGGAAATCTCATTCGTTGAGGAGAGATGTTAGGGCAGTGAGCCAATCAGCACCGCTTTTTCCCGAGAACCGCACAACTCCTCCTTCAGAGAAACTGTTACGGATGCGATCAACTCTGGCACGGAAATTCAACACATATGCACTGCCAACACCTGTAGAAACTACGAGAAGTCCCTCATCTACTACAAGTCCAGCTAACAAAAACGTGGGGTCATGTAATCCTGCAAAGGCAATTACAAAACAAATTTGGTATTCATCCCCACTGGAAACTCGTGGACCTGCAAAGGTTTCTTCAAGATCAATGGTAGCCTTGAAAGAACAAGTCCTGAGAGAGAGCAACAAGAATACATCTTCTCGGTTGCCTCCACCTTTAGCTGATGGACTCTTTTTCTCTGGGACACTCAAGAGACGATCCTTCTCTGGTCCACTGACAAGTAAACCATTACCTAACAAGCCTCTCTCGACAACATCTCACTTATACTCCGGTCCAATCCCAAGGAATCCAGTTTCTAAGTTACCAAAAGTGTCATCATCTCCAACAGCTTCCCCTACTTTTGTCTCAACCCCGAAAATAAGCGAGCTACATGAGCTTCCGAGACCACCACCAAAAAGTTCTACCAAGTTCTCTAGGGAATTAGGATATTCAGCTCCCTTGGTTTTAAAGAGCCAATTGCTCAGTAAACCTCTTATTACAAATTCAGCTACTCCTCTCCCAATACCACCTCTAATTACTCGTAGCTTCTCAATACCTACTAGCAACCTTAGAGCATCAGATTTAGATATGTCTAAGACAAGTCTGGGCACTAAAAAGTTAGGCACTGCCTCACCTCCTTTAACCCCAATATCATTGATCCGTGCACCACCACAGGCTCTTCCCGAGCGTGCAGACCACCTAACGATGTCCAAACAAGAGGTAAACCATTAATTCTGATACTTTTTTTCCCTATCTATTAGTTATTTTCGTTTGGTTTTAGAATAAGAAAGTGATCATTGTGTGTCATGCGTTTAAGTAGATTTTTGGTTCTAGTCCTGTTTCCGCGAAGTTCTGTTTGCTCATCATTTAAATGTAAATCCAGAATTGTGCTGATATTTGTTCTAATTGGGTTATTTTGCAGAGGAGGGTTTAAGGTGTAAGATGTTTGTAGCTACCTAAAAGCTTAAGAAGAAGGAGGGCCATTACCTATAGTTGCAGATATATGTAAATATCCTCCCATTTTAGTTTCACCTGATGATCTTAGTTTTCTGTCACATATAGTTGCAGATCCCTGTTTTGAGAATGATGATAACAAAAGAAAAAAAAAAATTAGAGGCACACATTTATAAATAATTGCCTGAGGAATTTTGGTTTTTCTTCTATCAGATAGTAATTGTCAAAACTTATGTACTCTCTCCTGACCTTCATTTGCTTTTGGTTTTGTTCAGTGATGTGATATGTTTTACGTCCGAGATTTACGGGATCGCTTCTAGAAGCTTAACATAAGCTGGCCATATTATACAGTTTAAGATCGATCATTTGCATTTACAATTACAAGGTAGGTGGAAAGTAGAAAGAAAAAACAAAAGTTCCCAACTCATGGTCTCACATGTAAAACCTAACGAGGAAACATACACATACACTTAAGGATCCGTAGCTTTCACAAATCTGCCCTTCACACGCAACCTGGTCTCAGCTCTCGCCTTCCTTGTTTCATATCTTATGGTCTTATCATATCTGATCAATAAGAATCAATTACGAATTAAGGCTTTGGAAAGACAAATCAACTTCAAAATGGAAATTAAAAAGAAATACTGACAACATCATTTACCTCCGGGTTTTCTTCTTTTCCTTGTACCGCTGCATAGCATTGTCCCTGTTCTGTGCCATACGCTCTAGATCAGCATTCGTTGCCGCCACCAATCTTGTGGTTTTGGTACTAGGTATAACAACATGTTCCGTAAAATGCAAGTCACTTGAGTTGTTAGAACTTTTATGTGAGTGAATGGCAGCGGGAACATTGTTGCTCTTTGATATTTCCTGTCCCTTGGTGGAACTTGAGCGGATGCAGTCATCCTGCTATATTTGACTAGTAAGTATCATAAATTCACAATTTACCGACAAAGATATACCAAAAATGTAGTGTGATTATGACATAAATACATCTGGTTTTCATTCAATCCAAGACGTAGTAAATTGGTGGTTGGCAGAGATAAAACCAACAGCAGTGAAGAAAGAAGATATAGCTACACATATGACATCAGTAAATCAGTCACCAACTACGGTTATATATGGGGAAAGCTTAAAACTGATTAGGGTATGGAGTGTTTTGGGATTGGTATTAGGGGCTTTTGAGGCTTGGAAGAACAAACCCTAATTATGTTCTGCTAAGTAGGTAAGTGATATAAATAAAGTGGTATATGATTTGAACCCTAAACACAAACAGTTTGCTACGCCGTACCTGGTAACTATCTCTCAAAGCTTTAACATTGGTTGTATCGTTTTTGATATGAGTGGCGTTATTCAATGTGAAGGTAGAGCCTTTTGGTTCGACTGGACTAGGTTCCTCAGGGTTCCTGGACTTGCCCAAGTTAAAATCCCATATCTGCAATGCAACAACGCAAATTCGACTTGTTAATCCAAGTCAGTGTATCACTAACTAGAACACGGACAGCCCAGGGATTGATTCATGGAAATAAATGGATTATGCTATTGACAGAAATTATGAATGTTCCTACAGATAAGGTAACTTGACATAATTGAGGGGATAAAGATGTCACTGCAAGAATGTTTCTATGTTGTAAGCACAAAAACATAAAACCTAGAAATCAATTGAGAGAAAGAGAGATGAGACCTGAGTGTTGTGGGCCTTCTGGTCAGTGGTATGACTAGCAGCATTCCACTGCGTAGCAGCATTACCACAAGAACTTTGGTACTCTGTTGACAGAAGCAAAGAAGTAAACGACGTCGTGGGAGACAGCTGCGACATGTTTGATCCGCCATTTATTCCTTCCCGAATCATAATCTCTCCTCTGCCGTCTCCGTCTCCATCTCCTTCACAGCTAACAAAATCTCTCTTCAACAACTCCTCAAGTTGTCTGTACACTACCTGCTTAGACCTCCCCAAGCTAAAGCTTTGCTTTTTCATCGGCGTATCGTACGGAACGATCAGATCTTGAACAATGTTAGATCCAGAGACCCACGAATCCAACGCCATCCCAAAATTCTCAGTCAAACGTTCCTCTTCCCTTTCTTCCTCTTTCTTCTTCCCCTCCAAATCAATCCCCCACACAGCAGCGAGCTCCGAAACACAAGGACAGCCAGAAAAGCCCTCGACGGCGGAGCGTTCGTGAGCAGCGGCGGAGGAGCAGCTGCCGTGAACATCCCAATCACACTCCTGACACAAGACGAGATTATCGGTGAAGCACCGCACGGAGACCGGCTCTTTGCTGCAGTTATCACAGATCTGAGAACGCACGTGCTTCCTGGACAAGAGGTTGGCCGAGTGCACGTGCTGATCACAAGGCAAACACAGCTTCGCCGAATCGGCTCTGCAAAACAGAACCGCCGTCCTCTCGCCGCAAAAATCGCACGCCACCGTCGTTGAACTACCCATTTTTGGTTTGACAATAATACCTTCCAAATTCCAAAAAAAAAAAAGAACCCAATTTTTTTTTTTTTTCAATCCGAAATTATAACAAAGCCGAAAACAAAATCAAGGGTGAACGATGAAGTGATCGATGGAAGAAGAAGACAGAGATAATAGACATTTCGTCTCAAAGTCTGAAGCTTTCGGTTTAACGGAGTGTATGATTTTTTTTATGGGATATTTTTTAAGGGGAAGTTGTCATTTAAGTAAAATATAAATATCTCTCAGAAGAAGAAGATGGATGACAAAAGACGTATTTAATGCAAAATTAAAAGAGTCGCATCTCGAGAATTAATTGGCTGCACTACAGTGTACTGTATGGATTTTATTGAATAATGGAGGACGGTACATAATTAGATGATGTGAGATCTAACGGTTGTAATTAGCATTTTAAGCAAACCGCTTAGCTGCGTATCTACTAAAATTAAAATAATAATAGAACAATAATGAATTTATGGTTGGGTCGTAACAGTATATATAAAAGGAAGGTATTGATTGAGTAAAGCGTATCTATCACTTTTTATATGTTAAATCCCTTTCCTTACATAGTAATCACCTTTTTCGCTCCTTTTATCCCTTTGTTTTTCCTTTTTTTTTTTAAATATATAAATCAATTTGATTTTATTTATTTTTGGGTGTGTGTGTGATTGCACATCAGCACATGAGCTCGAGTATTGCAAACTATGTGATACACTGACTTTAAAATATGTTGCTAGAGAAAAAAAGAGAGTTGATTTTGGTCTTAATTGATACGAAATACAACATATGTGTGCATTAATTATGATGTAAATTTGCAATGGTTTAGGGAAAAATATATAAATTTGTTATTAGTAAAAATATGAGCAAGAAAATTTCGATCCATAGTAAAAAAAAAAAAGTTAAGCATATAATTTCCCTAATCTTCTGTCTAAGCGTTTGTTGTTTTTGTGTGTAGCTCATCAGGTTGGTTTCCAGCTTTCTTGTCTCAAAAGTTATTTGTGTTATATTGTTTACAATGTGATTCATATCAGTATTTAAAAAAAAAAAAAAAAAAAAGGAAATGAACATATAAAGGCCCAATGCTTTATTTCAAGCCAATGTTTCCGTGGACCCCAAGCCCACAAACGAGAAGAGAGAAAATGAAAGAAATAAAAGTTATATGAGGAGAGTGAAGTACAGAAGAAGACACGACAAGAGTTCCAAACCTTAGACTGTAGTTCCTTCCATCGGCTTATGATTGCAGAGGTCTTTGTTGTTCAAGATATATGTATAAAGTTCCATGTATCTTCATTTTTAATCCTTAATTTAAGTTCATTATAAATAAAATTATACAAAAATATCAAAGGGTAAACTAACAAGATACAGTACTAATTATTAAAGCGTGTTGTAAAAAATTGTAGCAACATGTAAAGTTTCAAGTATTTTAAGCAAAAATGTTTTTGTTATCTTTTGGGATATTGCTAACTCATAAGCGAGTGTTCATAATGATATATTTCGAATGTATGGTTAATCTGTTTAGACCATGTTTAATAGTGTGTACTTAAGGCTAAGACTTTGTTAAGAAAAACTCTTTAATTAAGATTCCACCATTAAACATGGTCTTGTATTACAAGTATAAAAGTGTTTTGTTTTGGGGTTTCGAAAGAGAAAGAGAAAGAGGAGGAGGAGGAGACCCACACACATAGAAGAAAAAACAGAGTGACAGACAGACACACACAAATTTGGCGTCTCTTTCGATCTGAAACATCTCTGTCTCTCCTCAGAGATTCCCTTCTTCCTTTTAGGTCCCATTGTCTCTCTTTCTGTATATATCACAACTCTTTTTTTTTAAATAAACACTTTTTTTTTACTAAACAATATTTATTGTTTTTTGGTAAAAACAAATTGCAAAATCTCTTTGTATATATGTATAAGAAAAGAACAACAATGGATTGGTTTGGTCGTCGCTTTCTGTTTCTACACTTCCATCAGATTCCCTTTTGCACTTCTCTCTTTCACTCTTTTTTTTCCTTACGGAAACGTCATTTTCCTCCAGACAATACATTTTATTCCTTTTTTATATATATATTGATTGGTAAAAATTGTATAAATGTTGGTAGACAAAAAAAAATGTATAAATGTTATTATTGCCAATACTGTATCTATTGGTTTATCACAATTCCCTTCTCTCTATCTTCTCTCTCTTTTTTTTTTTGTATTTTTGCAACCAAGTAGAAAAGTGTAATTAGTTAGGTACTCGTAGTTATCTTTCTTTGCATGTTTGTTTCTGTGTGTAGTGTGTACGTATGGTAAGGTTTTTTTAACCAAGGTGCAATAATAAAACGTTATGCAAATTCAAGTCAATACATACATGTACCTAATATCTTAATTATTTAACCACAACTATACAAATATAGCATGCTTGATGTTTTCATGTTTGTTACCTAATATCTTAAATATCACACATGGTACTCTCTTGTATAGTTTGGGTGAGATTAAAAAACAAAAAAATGTATTGGCCTTGTTTTCTCTTCTTTTTCATTCTTTACTTTGTTGTGTATTGTTTGTTACATACAAGTAGGAACATGGTCTTGGACTATAATTTTTATTTAATATTTGACGTGATGTTATTTGGACTTTCTTATTTAAAAGATTTGTGAAGTGAGACATTACATCTATTAAAGTTTTCACAAACTTAATAATTGCAGCTAAAGCTCGAGAGCCAATTTGCCCACGCCCAAATAGTTTTAACGCTAATGAGCTAAAATGTTGACATTTTGGTTTTAGTTTTATTATATTTTGGTTGACTTCTACTAAAATAAATAAGAACTTTCAATCCCTCAATTATTCTGCTCCACCCATCATATTGCATTAGTAAGGAAGGATTGGGTATTTTTAAAATTGTCACTTCACGGCCAGATTCATTTCATTTTCGAGGTTAAGTACTTTGGTTGTCGTATAGTCATTCTATCCCGGAATATATCATCCTGTTTGCTATTGACTTTTGATGTATGCACCTAACCTCATACCTTCGAGATTTTTATTATAACTTTTTTCTATCGAGTTGGAAATTTAGATTTTAACTCACATTCTTTTTATAAAGATTTATTCGGATTAAGTTATTTTAATTGCATTCCACTCTAAAAATTGTTATAATTTTGAACGGATTAAATTAACACGTATCAAATGACCGTCGTTAGCAAGAAGATTAATGTGTTATATGCATGAGACTGTGATCATTCGTATATTGCATGTAATCGAGAGCACGTCAATGAAGTGAAAATTGATCATGTGTGATTGATATACAGATACTGTATTACGTACGTAATATATGCAGCTTAAGTGATATATATGGTTTTGACTGAGGGATTAGTTATATACCGAGTAAATTTCATAGAGCATGCCTGATTTAAGACTGAATGTGTAGAAGACCGTAATAAAATCTAAGTGACTAGTACTGGAGAGGGTGGGACTAGACTAGTTATCAAATATTGAACACATATTCTGGATTTAAAACTCGAATATGAACTGTTAAAAGCTATGAATGATTAATTAACTAAAAGTCAGAAAAATCGGAAAACTCAAACCCGAATTCACATTTTTTTTTTTTTTTGGTCGCCAACCCGAATTCACATTAAACACCGTTTTTACTAATGAGTAATGACTATACAGGGAAGAATGGGGATCACAGATAAACATATACTGTGATCTGTGAATGAGCTGCTTCGTTTTGTTTTTGTTCTCCTTTTTTAAAATTAAAAAAAAAAAAAGCAAGTTTCCAGCATTATTTTCGATAGCTACGTTAATGTCACATTCTTTAACAGATTTGTTTACTTGTTTCTCTAAAACAAATCCTCAGGTTTTATAAAACCTCTTCCCAAGATTTGAACTTTTATTCTTCCTCTTGTATTTTTAATTAAACCGGGGCACTAACCCGATAACAAAGGTAACAAACACAACACACGCGCAAGCAAGCAAAGCTTAATCCAAAACGCGCCCTGTCTCTTGCGTGTGCACACCTAAAATGGGGTTTTCACAAGAACACGGTAACACGGACGTGAGACAAAAGTGCGATGCAAAGAGATCAAGAGAACCTCTCTGTCTCTGTGGTCACTTTGGTCTCTCTGACAGAGTTACTGGTCCACTTTTCTCTTTTTTTTTTACCCAAATATCCTCACGCGCTTCTTCCTTATTGCGCGTCTACTTTCACAAACCAACCCCTCCCCCTATGCTAAATTCCCGATTGTACCCTTTCACTCTGTTTTTTTTTTTAAATTAATATAATGATTCCTCCTTTCTTTCTTCTCTTTGGTTTTTATTTATTTATTTTGTCTCAATCAAGAATAAATCCTCTTTTGTTTCCTCTTTCTTTCTTTCATCTTCTCCTGCGAGATGAAAGCACCGAACATGGAGACGATAACGGATTCTCTCGAGAAATCGATGCAGAATTGTTCTCTCAATGATCGGAGAAGAAGGGTCGGAGGAGGAGGAGGAGGAGATGGCTTTGTTGGGAGATCGTCCACCAACGACCACACTACTCCGATCTCAGATACAACCTTGGAGCTCAATTCTCACTTATCTCTCCCTTGTCACTGGGAACAGTGTCTTGATCTTAAGGTAATAACAACATTTACAACAAATGAGATTTGTCTTTCTATTTTTTTCCTTCTTCTTTTTTGTTTGTCTAGGTTTAAACTAATCACTACAGAAACTTCGAACTCGTGTCGTTTTCGTGTTTTTTTGGATTGCATTAAATGTGTTACATTTGCGGGTAGAATTTCTTTTCTTTTTTTTCTTTAGTTTAAGGCTTTTCTTGTTTCCTTGTGATTATGCATTTATTGCTTCCAGACCGTATAAAAATGTTTTTGCTCTCATAGGGCTTTTTCGTTTCAGGCTTTTGTATATGGAAAGCTTTTTGCAGAATTTTTTGATTGCTCGACCATGATGAAACTAAGTTCTGAGATTTTTTTTCGTAGATATGTTTTTTCACATAAGGAAACAAAACAAACAAATGTTTTTGTCTTTCATGTTCAATGATTTGTCTGATGATTCAATGATATATAAAAAAAAAGTACATAGTCATTTGCTCATATATAGATCTAGGACCAAAGCTTTTCTCCTTTTTCGTCTTGACCACATTTTGGGTGCATTGCAATTTACAAACAAAGTAAGACCAAAAAGAAAGAAATAAACCTTTTTATTTGGGCACTAGCTTTAGTGTGCAAAAGGACTTTATGATTGAAATCTAGAGGTGGGTTTCTTTTTCTTTGTGTGTTTTAGACAGGAGAGATTTACTACATAAACTGGAAAAACGGAATGAGAGTGAAAGAGGATCCAAGGAAGGTGATGAATGCTTATCCTGACAGTGGAGAATCATATGGAACAGTGTGCTCAGAAGAAGATAGCTCATATTACGACAGCGAAGAGTCTTCATCAGAGTCATCTCCATCATCAAGAGAGAATCATGAGAAAGATGAGGAAGAAGATGATGATGAAGAAGAGGAAGAAGAAGAAGAAGATGTGCTAGTGGTTGCCGGATGCAAAGCTTGTTTCATGTACTTCATGGTTCCTAAGCATGTCGAGGACTGTCCAAAATGTGCAGCAGAGCTACTTCACTTTGATCGACCTCCTTCTATGTCTACTTAAAACCAACCCATCATCTCTTTGTTTTCTATTTTTTCACTTCATTCAGATGAGAATTTGTTTAGGCTTCCACTTTTCTTTCTTTCTTTGATCTTAATATTGTTATAACTTAGTGGTGGTTTTCTCTTGGGAGTGGGCGGGGGGCATTAACACGAGTTTCAATGGCAAGAATGTTTCAGGACAGTAAAATGTAAAATGTTACTACCAATTAGAATGGTTTGGCAAATCATAAATGAGCTGTTGTGTTTGGCTTTTCAAGTTGAAAGAGAATATAAATGTGAATGAGAATGAGATATATGCTATAGCTAATAAGAATATTAAAGTTGTTGCATTAAAGTTGGTCAATGAAATGAGAGCCCTGAGGAATCGCGCGCCTATTAAACAATTAAAAAAGACTAGTGGTGTACTAATCATAATGATTGCAACATGTGTGTGACTCCACATTTCATGGTTTTCCTTTTTTCCTTGTATCAGAATCAATTCTTCTAAATTTTCATTGGAAACCATTTTCTTTTATTTTATTTTATTGATCTGAATTGAAAATAAAGAGATAAGATTAGTTTCACTAAAACGATGGTAAGAAAATTTATCTTATATATATTCCAAATTTCCAAGTTATCCACTAATTCAAGGAGCGGGGATGATAAATAAATTAACTAAATTAGGGTTTATATTTTCTTGTAAAAAACTATACTATTATTCAAAATATGTTTTACTATCTAAAAAATTCGAGAGTTTTGACTTATTACTGTTTATATATAGTTTATATAAGTAGACACCACTGTTCAAAACCAAATCTAGCTAGCATAATATTTTAAATATCCGATAGTAAGGTATAAACACTAAAATATTGGAATAAAGTACAAAGATATATGTTACCACAATTACATTACTTTACAACTTTGAGTTTCTAAATAGTGCATTTTATCTTACAACAAATATGCGTCATTAGTTAAGAATAGAGGTTCGTAGAGAAAATGATTAGACGTGTGAAATGTACCCAAGCTGTGTCAATGTCAAATTTTTGGTTCGAGTTGAGCCAACTTGTGATTCCACTCAGCTTAAACCTGCGGTTCACAAAGGAGCAAGTTATCGTAAGTTCTGTTGACAGAGATGTTTGAATAAACAAAACAAATACATGACTTTGCTGCCTGAAACAGTTTGTGTCATTATTGGGAATAGTCGCAAAGTGAAAAACAACAAATGTCCTACCATGCGTAGTAGCCTTTGATAGACCACTTAATAGGTTGCATACTTTATATAATATGACTGTTAACGAGGTGAAACTATATAGATAAATTTTTTGCCTTCCATCACTAGCATGGCCTGTTTTGGCAGTAACAATTTATGCTGGACATGTACTAGTTTATGGATAAGTTAACAACATCAAAGTATGGTCTAAACATTTATTATATGTCAAAAATATGAAATTTATAATGCGGACCATTATACTAGTTTCACATGAACCAACGTCTCAAAAATTTTGAAGCCAAAATCCGGATTTATCTGGAGTTTCATATGGATTCTAATTCTACCAAAGACAATTCAAGTTCTATTTCAAGTAAGCTTAAACCAAAACTTTGAATTTTGTCTACAAAAGGAGAACATAGTTACCACTTACCATTTATAAAATATGATACGCCATTTACTACGGCCTACGGGGTACATAGATAGAGGGGGGAAAAAAGAGCAGAGGACTTGGAAATTTAAAATCTAGCCGAACCGGAGGGTACCAACCCAAATTGGATTAAACCGGGAAGAAAACTGCAAATTAGCTCGTGACAGTGTTTGCAAGCCATGTCACGGTGTTTGTAAGCCAACACGTCGACAAAAACTATTGCCAAGTGCCTTCCCTTCGATAAAAACTTAACCTCTTCGTTTTAGACACTACACCACTTTAGACCATTTTTCATAAGATAAAACGTGAGGTGTCTTGTAATCTTGCAAATATTACTTCTCAAAAATATCACTTTTTAGAATCCAACCGCTTTGAACATTCTTTTGCCAAAGCGAGTTTGCAAATCTAAAGCTTTGCAATGACATCCTACCATGTTTCTCATGAGTCATATCGACCATCAGGCAATTCTCAAAACGTTTTTATAAATTACTTTTTCTTCTCTTGAAAATTTTCTCTTTTTATGTGTATAAATACCATGCTTGTGTATCTCTCTATATATGAATATTTCAGGTCCTTCACCACTGTACCAACCGGGAATAGAGGCTCCGCCACCACCGTATCCACCAACGAGAACGAGGTATCAAGACTACTACGGCGGCTATGGTCAGCCGCATCCACCACCACTGCGTCCATATAGATCAGATGAATACTACAACGAAGGAGAATATGATGGTTGCTTTCCTTTTCTTAGAAGATGGTAAATTCCATTAATTGTTAATATTTATCATATCATCTTTCTTTTATACTTTATGAATTGTGTTAACAACTAAACGAGGTTTTGGTCTTTTTAATTAGAAAATGAAACTATGAATCAACTCAAATTTAATAAATCGGGAGTAATTTTGATTTGTTCATTAATCTCTATTACTTTGGGGATGATCATTTGCAGTTTGACGGCGCTATGTTGTTGCTGGTTTTTGGAACAGTGCTGCTTTAGAAGTCGTTACTAATTCTTGTATGAGAGAATGTTTACTCTCTCTATACTCTACTCTTTTGTTCTGTTTTACGAGTTGTAAATTAGAATTGGTGTTTTGTTTATGAAGAAGCATGGAGTTCTAAGAAATAAAACAAACAACATTATGGTTTAATTTGATAAGTGACCGGAGTCGGGTTCACTAGATTTGTTTTTGCACGTACCATTTAATTTCTTTCTTATGAAAAAATCTTGAAAACAACAATACATAATTCATCACAATCTTCTATAAAAAATAAATTTCCAAGTAGTATTTTTCCTTTCATGTTCTGAATATCAAATATAAAAGCCATTTTGGGGGCATTGTTCACTAAAAGATGTAAATGTGTTTGCTACTTTACTTACAAGGCTCAAATATTAATGGTAAGAACATCAGAATTCGTCAGGGAGGGGACGACCACCCAAGAAAGCCTTAAACAACACAAGCGCTCTAGCAGGCTGCGAGAACGGTACCTCATGGGCCGCTCCTCTCACTGTAGCAAACGCCAATATATTCCCATAAACTTGAGTCCACCCACCGACCTGTAACAACAACAAACCTTAATAAGCACGTCACATATATACCAATAGGACATTAAAAAAACATCGATAATATAAGACACCATGAATGGAGCACCCTAATTAGATATATAGTCATGATACTAACCTGTTGTCCTGCAAACCAAACTCGATAAGGGCCAGTTGTTCTCAGTCCCAACTCTTCAGCCAGTCGCTTCACTAGTGTTCTACTCCCGGTTAACGGAATCACCGAATCTTGATCGCCGCTGTTATTATTATTGCAACAAACACATCAAGACAAGTGTTACAGAACTTGATAACTTCATTATAGAAGAAACCTTGGTTTACCTGTACACAAGAACTGGAACTCGAGCTTTAACAAGACTTCCTACTATGTTTATCGTTGGCACTTCCACATCAAGTACTTCGTAATCCAGCACACTGTCACGATAGAACCCTTGTGTAAATATTTACAAACCGAACTTTAACAACTAAAAATATATACAAAGCTAACTAAACTTTTGTCAAAAACAAAATGGTAACAATGTTTATATAATGAATAAACCAACGTGAAGCCAAATATACTGTTAAATGTTAAATGTTAAATGTTATGAAGGGAATGGAAGATATTACTTGCTGCAAACAGCCCACTTGCGAGTTCCAACAAGCCGAGCATGGAGAGCTTTTTGGACATCTCTCCGGTTGAGATAGTTAACCGTCTCATCTTCTACACACACATCCACCGTCTCTCCCATTTGCTACATCATTCAAACAAAATCACTTGCAGAAAATAAAATAAAACTAAAACAAAAGTTTTATTCTTCTAAAACTTCTATTGGCTTCTGAACTCACTTGTGGTTGAGGGTTAACTACTTTGGATTGAGATAGCACAGAGGGAATGCAAACGTCAAGAGTAACGTCATATTTGTCAACGAATCTACTTGTTTCGATGCTAACTTGACTCATCACTTTAGTGCACATACTTGACACTGTTCCTCTATAGTACTCACTCACATACCGCGAGTAGTTACAATAAGATGTGAACATTTTGTAAGTTAGATCCGATATCAAACCATGAGACCAGAAATACTCGGCTCGTGAGTTGAAATCCGTCGAAAACTCCATAACCGGATTCCCAATCTACAAAACCAAATGTTTTGAAAATTAAAGACACAACATAATCCGGATTACAAATGAAAACGTTAAGGACTATATGAAAGAAACTCACAGCAATGCCTTTGAGATTAAACAAGTTGTGCTTCTTGTTGTATTGAATCATAAGCTGAGCCAACTGAGGAACATAGTGGCCTAAAAGATTTGCAATTTTGATTAAATACATTTTAGGTACCAAAAATACTGTTTTACAAAGAAAGGAAACAAAAAGCTATCTTTTACCAGCGTAGCTTTCACCAGTGATGAAGAGACTTCTATTGAGATATTGAGGGAACTTGAGGAACCATTTTTGCAAGAACACAAGATTGTCTTTTGCTGGAGATTGTTTTGTTCGAAAATGTGCACAAAAGACAAAGATCAGAATGTTTAATATGTGAAGACAAACAAAAAGAAAAGAGAATAATCCTCAGATTGTGATCTGAATTCTGCAAAAAGTTCCATTGTTTTTTTTTTTTTTTGGTTTCTCTTTTTGTCAGACTGAGAAAGAACAACTCATAAAAGCTGGAACATATATTATATTTTTGTCCATTTTCAGTTTATTACAATTTTAAAAAGGGATCAAACAAGAAACAGATCGCATGCACCCCAATATCATCATCATCCACACAAACTTAAACTCCATAAAAGAATGAAACACAAAACTCAAATTCAAAACATCCAAACTGGAAACTAGAAGCATAACAATGATCTAGACCACTTTATGTCTGAATATTATGTTTACTTTTGATATTTTTTTTAGTGAAAGAACTAAGGGGACAAAAAGACACAAAATTTGGGTTTCTTCTACAAAGCCTAACTATCACTAATCTATGAGAGAGAGATAGAAGATTTTATTTTCGAAGGTTTGAATTATAACAACTGGGGAAATGAAATAGAGAAAGTTTAAAGTACATACCAGTGATCTTATCATTGACACCCTCATAAGAGGAACTCTCAGTTGCATAAGAGAATCCTACTCCAACAGGTGTCTCCAGATACAACATATTAGCCTCTGCACATTTTTCAATCAAACTAAAGAATTAAATTTAATTAAAAAAAAAGATGCAAAAGGTGAGTGATCCGAGGAGTTACCTTGATTCCAGCTATGCTGATTCTTCACCAAGATTGATCCTTTGGGTCTAAAAGGACCATTCTCAGAGAATGCACCAACACCTAATGATGAACAACCAGGTCCTCCATTGAGCCAGAGGACGAGAGGTTTGGAGATGGGTTTGGTTTCAGCTTCAGCCAAGTAGTAAAACAGAGCTCTCTGTTTCTTGTCGTCAATATTGACATAACCCGAGTACTGCTGAAACCCGACCCGTGGTTGACCGGGTAAACGGGTGATCCGATCGGCCCGGGAGAGAACAGTTGAGCTGACTGTTAAACTCAGAGTTTGAAGGAGGATTAGTGCAGTAGCCACTGTTAGACATTGCAGGAGAGACATCGTAGTAGCTCTTCTTCACCAAGTCAAGAGATATGACTTTTTGTGGTTTTGTTTTATTTTATTTTTCCTCATATGGATTGGTATTGGCATTTTATATATCTAAGAAATCACTTTTTGTTGGTAAAATCGAGTATATTTATGTACAATTAGTTTTCTTCTCTGCAAAAGCCGTAAGCCGCGTGATTCACAGGTAAAAGTTTTTCTATTTTATTTTATAGTGTTTTTTATATTATAATGGCATTCCAATGAGTTTGAAAAGTCTCTTGAAGTTAGAGCTCTATCTATTGTTAAAAATGGTGGTGCATTAGCATATATGATGTAAAAAAATATATGTGATCATCATTATTTATTAAGTATTTTTTTACTTATAACCATTCAGCCATTAAGGTTTAGATCATATTTTGATGTTTCATTTCATTACTTCTCTATTTATGATGCTAGGCTTCTTTTCTTCTTCTTTTTTTCTTTTTTTTTCGGGTCAAGAAGTGATGATGCTTATTCAACTTATTACTATTTTCATCACAGGAATCTTTACAATAATAAAACTTTTGCACTGTAAAAACGAATATTAAGTGAAGGAAAAAAGTAAGAAAACGGTTGGGTGATGATGTATTTAAGTCAGTGAGTGAGAGAGTGATATCAGCAAAATGGAGCTTTGGCGTGGCTTCACTTCTTCACCACTCAAACCCTCCCTCCCCACTCAGATAAAGAGTCTCCTTCATTTTCATTATCCTTTTACTATCATTTTCCCTTAACTATTTATTTGTATTCGTTTCAATTTTTTTTTTATAAAAAAATAAAGTTGGAAAAGGACATGAACGTGGTCCTGTTTCTATACATTTTTAGGCATGGTAAAGAGAAAGTAAATAATAAGCCAAGATTTCTAAAGAAAAATATAGAGAAGTGGTTGTAAATAAAATAAAAGCTTCTCACAAAATTGCATTTGCAAAACCAAGTTGCCTTTTAGAGTTTCTTCGATATAGTGTATAATTTTCTCTACTCATGCACACCCCTGTCTTGCTCTTGCATCTCCACGGCGTGCTTTCATTCACAGCCAAACGCAATTATTTTTCTTTCCCCTTAAAAGTAATGGAATTGTAAGCAAAACATCATATATAGGTAGGGTGAAATATATAGAGGTAGAAAAGGGTAAAAAGACAAATTTCGATTTGGTTTGAAACTGAAATCAACTTTTGCCTTTATAGGTTGGCTACAAGGAGTGTTGTTACATGGCCCATCCTCTCACCCTCTCACTCATTTGACCACACACAAAAAAAAAATGCAATCTGCTTTCAATCCTAAGGCACTTTTATATCTACTACATATAATTAATCAATTATATATATGGACGCTAATGTGGTTTGGAAGTTAAACTAGTAGGTCAGAATGAAAAGGGTTTAAACTTTGGAAACAAAAAAAGGTCATTAGCATAATTAGAAATGAACATGTCTTATGTTTCCCAAGACAACCATCTCGATCCGGTTGTTAGCAAAAGCTTTGTTTTATTAAGAGATTCGGGAAAATGGGGCAAAAGTGTATGGAAGTGGTTGGTGGTGGGGACTGTTAAGAGCCGCATGCCTATCATACCCACTTCTATCTTATGTTCTTCTTTCACCCAATTTCATTACCTTTTGTCTCTCCTTTAGCCTTTATTGTATTCACTTTGTATACACTAATCATAATAGTATATTACTAATGATAGGTCAGCGAAGATCCTATTCCAACGATACACCCTTACTCAATAACATCTAATACTGTATAAGATTAGATACTCTATTTGCTAATCTAGGTGTAACATTACATCCAAACTACAAATGATCAAGTTCTTTTTACATGCAGGAGTTAACTTTCAAAAAATATTATTTTCTTGTTTTCTTAAACCAACACTAAATTGAATGTTTTTAACAACTGTCTAAAACTATAAGGTTGGAAAACAAACATTTACAACTCTTATAAAATGTATTATTATTAATCTCTAAAATCAACAAAACCCGGTTGCTCCTCCTCAGCTCCAAATCGTGGTCCA